CCGATCGAAGCCTGGCAATCCTGTTCTGGTCAACCTCCGGTATCTGCCGATGCTTGCGTCTAAAGCCGTCATCCCCCCGGGACACTTTAGACCAGGCAAAGTCGGAACCGGAGGGTCGGACGCCTCTCAAACGGGCTGGTGGTTGGGGCGATGTTGCAGATTGAAGTAGGTTTTGATGCAGGAGAGCCGAATACTTCACGAGAGTTCCGGGGCCTCGTGGCTCAGGGTATTCTGTTCTCCTGGGCCGAACAAGCCGGACAAAGTTTCAGCAATCTCTATCTCTGTAGAGAGTATCCAGCTACGAGTTTGTTGTCTCACTGCTGGATCGCACGGTGGTAGAGGAGTTCCCTGCATTCGGTCATTGGCGAATTGTTCACTGTTGTGAGTGAGGGTGCGCGACCTCGAGGCGACCCAACTCTTCATGGCATGAGATCTTGAAGAGGTCACTGGTTATCCTTACTAAATCTCACTCCGACTAAACCTCTGATCTCGTAGGAACTGAGTAGATCCGTTGTGCTTCGTTCGCGCGGGAGTCCGTGTGAAAAAAGCAAAGCGGAGAAGAGATCTTAAGGAGGAAACTGGTCGGTCCGGACCGGCTATAGGGCATCCGATCTCGAGTGAAACAAAGGCATGAGCCCCATGCCTTTGTCTTTTAAAATTTCTTCTCAATTTCTTCAAAGTTTCTTCAAAATTTTGAATTTCAAATTAACGTAATGCCATGGGAGTTGTGAGTTGGACGATGGAAGCGTTGCCGTCTGATGTCGGTTCCTCCTCGTGGTGGACGGTGGAAACGAGGGTTTTACCCTCGGCTAATCGCCGACAAAATATGTGCTGGTTTTGGTAGTATTACACAGGGGTCAACAATGTAGTCAAATTATAAAGTCTCAACCCCTTTCCCTAGCACCTTTCATATATGAATAAAACACTAACTGATAGTTTTTGACATTCTCTTGCATGAAAAGAAAAAGCTTCACTTGCGATCTTCTCAATGCCGCTCCTCCTATTGTTGTTATTATCTCTCGCAGACAAGCAATCTTAACGAATGAAAATTAGCTCATTTGTACGAGTATTGAATCAGGAAACTAGCAACAACGCATTCGCAACCACTCAAAAATGTCATAAGTTAGCGAGTATATAAGTCTGAAGCATTACTTTGTTTTAAAATTCTAAAGAAAATTTCATCTTAATTCCTTCATTTTTTCTCGTTGAATCTAAGACTTATTTAAAAGTCTGCCATTTTGGAGAGGCACTATGTTTTATATCAAACTTGCTCGAACATCCGATTAAAAGTATAAGAATTTTTATGTCTGTATCTCGCAGAGCTTTTCTGTGCATCCCATCTCTCAAAATTTTCAGAAAAAAAAATAACTATTAAACTTTATGAATACAAGAATATTTATTATGCACCATTAAGATATTTTAATAATAGCACTGATGAGTGATGATAATGAAACGCAGATTTACTACAGATCCAATGGGGGTAAATCTTTCCTCAAACGATTGTCGACTGTTAGTGTATATTTAACTCCTTGCTTAATTATTTTATTGTATGTAGAAAGGTACGAAAACATTGTTAATTGCAGTTATTGAGCTAAGTATCTGTTCAAATAAAATTGTCGGTTTTTTCCTTTTAAAAAAGGGAAAATGAAATAAAATCGAATAAAAGTGTTTGTTAAATACAATTGTGTAAATTTTTTTTAACATGATTGGAATATTTAAGAGATTCTATAAAATAAACGAAATTTTAAGTAGGTAGAATTTTGTTACAAACCATTGTTGATTGCAGTAGAGCCAATTATCTGTTTAAATAAAATTGTTCGTTTTTTCTTTTAGAAAAAAAGAAGAAGAAAATTTAAATTGAATGAAAAAGTGTACGTTAGATACAATTGTGTATAAAACAAAATTAAATGAATGGAATAAAAAAGAGATTCTGCGAAATAAACGAAATTTGAAGTAGAGTTTTGTTATTTTATTGGACTTAATTAACGTGATGTTATGCCTGAATCCGTTTTTCGAGATACATTTCAATGGTTTCTCTCTTTAATTAATATTGTGTCAACTTCCTGATATCCTGATAAATACATATGATATATTCTCCATGTACCACTGCGTAATAAGGTGCAACACGACCACGTATGTCCATTGCAGTGTTTCAAAATCTCCACTCTAAGTTTGTTTTTTTGGAGAAGAATAAGTCAACTTGACATCATATTCGACGTCATGACCAGACAGCTTGTCTGGTATGGTCATGTCAATAGAATGACGGACGAAAGGCTGCCAAAGAAGTTGCTTGATTGGGTTCCTCCTGGAAGGAGACGAAGGGGACGCCCAGTGAAAGGGTGGCGACAGGGGATTTTAGAAGAAATGAGGGTTTGTCAACTCCCTGAAGGGCTTTGGGAGGATAGGGGACTTTGGCAGGATAGGGGACTTTGGCGGCTAGGGGTCGCAGAGCGCCAAAGAGCGCTATAAAAGCGACTTTATACATACATAAGTCAACTTTATAGCTTGAAATTTAGGCTGCATATTTAAACCATCAGAGAAGAAAAATCACGGAAGTTTTCAAGAAATTACGTTAACTAGTTCTCCAAGGAAAAAATTAAGCTTGACCAAGAATCAGTGGCGTGGCGTGCTTTGCGATATATCGATTGTCATGGCATTGAAACCTATGGAAAAGGGTCGGTAATTAGGGTGTTCGCAGCGAACACCATGGTAATCGATTCTTTACCATAGGTTTAAATGGCAGAACATCGATATATCGCAGAGCGCGCCACGCCACTGCCAAGAATCTATAAATTCGCAATCGGAAATACGCGGTCTCTCACTCGAAGCATCGATGAGTGGTACGAAATAAGATTAAATAGTTATTATAATTTGACAAAAAAATTTCAATTCCTAGACATAATAAATGATGTTTCATACTTACTCTGTACAAGAAATGAGGGTCTTGGAGGGCAAGGCGCATAAGTGCAGTTTTCGAAAAAAATGATATATTCATAATTTTAAGTATCTCTAGTCTTAATGCATATTCTGTGAAAAATTCGCACCCACATTCGAATTTTAAGCATCAAAAAGTAAGTTTGAACGTTATTTCCGCCATTGGGATCCATGTAATTTCGAAACTTCAAATCGTATTTCTCGAAGTAGCAGGGACTGCACTCTTACGCCTTGTCCTCCAAGCCCCTCAAATGTCATTTACGCCGGACACCGTAAATTAAATCCATAAAGTAACTTTCCATAATTCAACTTGCTCTCCAGAATTTAAATTAGAGCGCAAGTCCATCAACATTTTCCACAGTTGAACTTCGTAGCCTATATTTTTCAAAGGTGGTAATAATCAAAGTGGTTAGCTGAACCGTGACTTCAATGATGAGGAATTCTATTTAGCGAAATTGAGCCGAAAGTCACCAGTATGGGTTCTTGAAAGTTCAAGTCACCGTTCAATGTTTTTGATTCCCCCTAAGGGTTGAAATTCGAGTCCCCTTGCTTGGTTCAATCCAGTAGCGTGGCGTGCTTTGCGATATATCGATTTATCGGCCATTTGAACCAATGGAAAAGGATCGATAAACAGGGTGTTCGGTGCGAACACCTTAAAAATCGATTATTTACCATGGATTTAAATGGCATAACAATCGACATATCGCAATTCACGCCACGCCACTGGTTCAATCTTATTAGTGCCCGTGCTGATCAAAAGATAAACTTGGAGCCTAAAATTTCAGAAAGTCAAAAGAAGAAGAAAAAAATGTGGCTGAAAAAATGAAAAATGTTGTGATGCGCAGTCTTGAAACAAATATTACCACCTGGAATTGGACATAACCTTACTTTCATCAAGGCTTACACATTTTTTGAATGAAAAACAGCAAGCGTGAAATATAAGACTGAAAGTTGTGGTCGCAATGACCCTGATTCGAATCACAATACAGGGTCTCATTTGGACTGCATTTTGCAAGGAGGAACTACAGTATTTGGCACATTAGAAAAGTGACTTATCTGTTTAGAGAAACCAATGGAGCATATTTTGCTTCTAAACTGAGCCAGAAATTGTAGTTGCAGTCCATTTCATGCTTACCTACTATTTTTATAAACTAAGTCTTTACGGCATCCATGGCAGCGAATATGCAAGGTAAAGCGGATGAATTTGCTTACTTCAGAAATGAAGGCGCTTCAAATATATGCTTAAAAGTCTTAGGTATCGCCGCGCCGCACTGCCCCATCGTTCTCAGAGAGACCAATCTAGCATTCAAATGATCCATTTCGTACTTATTTCATTCATGATTTTTTCTTTTTTTTACTACTTCTAATACCTTACACGTAGTAATCTTACGTCAGTTAGAGTCCCGCCCCATTCAATCCCTACTATACAGCCTACTATCTAGAGGCAACCGTTGTTTGAGACTAACAAACTCGGGTCGCCTAGCTGGGAATCGAACCCGGGACCTCCTGGATATAGAGCCAGCGCTACAACCCTACACCACCACACAAGAGGCCGGAGTATACGATTCTCCTTGCGAAGTGTGGCTTATTTAAAGCATGCATGGCAAGTACTGACTCTTGGTTCCCCAGCTAATTTATTAAAATAATAACACAGCCAAACCCCAGGTTTTTTATGAACAATTTTTTGGAGGGCACTGCATGCGTTTGATTTTACGCATCAACACATTTTACGATACTTTATATGTTTTGAAAAAATAACGGAGGATTTTGTATAATTGATGTGATTTCCACTCTGAGAAACTGGGAGCGAAGTGGTGGGCATAAGAAATATCTTGATTATCTAATCAAGAATCGAGGATTTCATTCCAAAACATCGAGGCCAGAGAGAAAGTCGCGAGACGGCCGATTTTCATCTCATCGATTTTTCAAAGGAGGAACAACATCGAATCAACAGAAAATCAATGAAACGCAACGATGCCGATCAGAGTTCTGCGACCCTCTATTGGATAATTGATAAAATGAGGAAAATCAAAACCAGTTTTTTTATTTATATTTTTTATTCCTCTTTCTTTTTTTCAAAATTTAACAGTCAACGCTACCAGGGTGATGTTCAACTCTAGCCGCTTTTCCGATCGAATACTTTTCTTTGCGATCGTGATTTTTTGTAAAGTAAGTTTCAATCTGTTGCAATGTTTTTCCTTCGGTTTCCGGTAGACAGAAATAAAGATGAATAACTCCTAGTACTGCACCAGTCCCATAAAGGTACATCATACCGCTGAGGCTAATCCAGTTCTCAATGAACAAGTATGATTTGATCATGGCCGACTGTATCAAGTACTTTGTGCCTGCCGTGATACCGCATGCTAGCCCACGACCGCTGAAACAAAAATTTTCAAGAGTTAAGTACCTACTTATTAATTTGGAAATTTGAAAGCGTGTATCAATTTGCTGTGACTTTTCTTTTTTATTTTATTTATTTATTTTTTAAAGTTTTTTTTGGTGGGGGGCGGAGGATAATTATTTAACAGAAGTTTTCAAGCAATATCAACGAAATGGCATGAACAAATGGTAAAGATATTAGAATGAGAGTTACCGACTTCTCTACGGCTCTTTACAAGCTAAAGAACAGAAATCATTTCCCTCGAATGGTCTCGAGCTTTATTGAAAGCTCGGCGAGTTTTCTTATACCGAGGCAAAAATTCCAACAAGTTGACTTTTTAGTTTGAAATTTTTACAGAATATTCCTCTAATGGAGGAGGAAAATCAAGGCAGTTTTCGATGAATGGGGCTCTTGCATGTGTCAGGAATTTGCGTTTTAATCTCAGATTCCTACGAAAAATCTCGCGAGAAACACGATGGTGCCACTAATTTCCTCCGAAACAAACTCCAAAGCTCAAGAAAGCTCTCAAAGTTGAGGCCGTTATGGAGGAGATATCCCACGCTACCCTGAGAGTCCACTTCTATATTAAGACAAACTCTCTATGCAAAGATAGGGAACATATACATTAGTAGGTTGGCCGATTGGCCGTGTTTTCAGTTTTGGAGTCCCCCCAACAAAGTGGCAACCCTCTTAATGTATTTGCTCCCTATCTTTTGCATATAGATTTAGCCTGATATGCAGGTAGCCTGGTATTAAGGTAGCTTGGGAAATCCCCTCTTTGCAACCTCAACTGTAAGAGATTTTCTGAGCTTTAGAGTGCGTTTCAGAGAAGACCGGTGGCATTATCGTGATTCTAGCGAAATTTTACCCAGAATTTTGTACTTAAATCGTAAAATCCTGACACGTACAAGAACTCACTTACGTTGGCTAGTTTTTCAAGGAAACCATGAGGCACGAGGAAACCAATGGAACCACTTCTAGAACCTCAAAATCATGTATAAATGTAGGTATCCTCGTAAGCGTTTAAAGTTTCAGAATTTTGTCCGACCTCTTCTATTGATTCGATCCACTGTGCGCCGTGAAGCTGAAGGTACTCACGCGATGGGGAAGATCTCGCAGACCAATTGCCACGGTAAGAGTACTGCACTGAAGCCGCAGAAGAAATTAAGCGTAAGCCAAAAAATAACGGGAAGCCAGGCTGCCTGCGGCATCCAGGTTGAGTCCTGGAGGGAGGAGCTGTAGACCCCCGTACCCAGGATGCAAAGAGCGACGATCCCGTTGGCAAGTATAGCGATTTTTCGTTTCCCAAATCGATGGAGGCAAGCCACATTCAACATCGCACCGATGAACACCAGGACCTCTGAAATTATCTGTAATACGTCAGGAGATAACGCAAATATCTAAAATAGATACACATTTTTAAGAGCAGTCCGAGACAATGTTAACAGGAGAAAAACAAGGAGGAAAAACTGGAAACAAGGCTGAAACACACAGTTAATAAAAAACGAGACGTTTCGACTCAAAACTCGTCGTTTCCCTCACGAAAGAACGTAACTCCATCACAATGTTGCCAAATTCCTCCTCGCAAATTGTGTATTAATCAAGAGAATCTCGGGCATTTCTACTTGAAAATTTCGCCGATCGTTCTTGACATTCTATGCGAAAATCAGACAAATTCGGATCAAAATTGCACCAGTACATTTTTGTAAAATACGTCAATTGTTTTAGTCAATTTGACAACCTTGGGATGGAGTTACGTTTCTTCGTCCGGGAGACGACGAACTGAGTCATTTCCAGCCGGAAATAATACAATGAAAACTTAAAAAAACTATGAAAACCTGAGCCCTACAATATGAAGACCGGGATTTGAGAAAAATGATCCCACGCCAACCTGAGCCCTACATTATGATGACTGGGATTTGAGAAAAATGATCCCACGCCGTCATTTTTCAATCATTTGAATCATTTTTCTCAGATTCCGGCCACCACCGCATGTAGGGCTCAGGTTTTCATCGTTTTTTTTTTTTTTTTTTTTTTTTTTTTTTTTTTTTTTTTTTTTTTAAATTTTGATTGTATTTCCGACTGGAAATGGCTCAGTTTTGAGTCGAAGTGTCTCGGTTTTTATTAAATATCTATAAAGGACGTATTGCTATCAAAGGAAACCAAGCGCCATTGGGGAGGAGGGGAGTGGGGGGGCTTGGATTGGCGGGTGTTGCGGAGCGCGATGCCTGTTCCGTCCTATACTAGCAATGCTTTTCCATGGCGCTTAGTTCCGTTTGACAGAACGCACTATCCGGGATACTAAAATCCTCAAAAGGAACTCAAATTGGCGCTTAGTTCCGTTTAACAGAGATACGTCCAAATATGTCTATCTGTCGCAGGCAGTTAGTCACATCAGGCATTTTATCGAATGACTCGGCAGATGGTTAAATTTTGACAGTTTGCAGAATTTAGAAAATTCATGGCGAAGATCCGTGGAAACTTGTATCGAAGCTAATCGATGGTGAAATTACCACACCATGTACCTCGGTTTGAGACTTCCTGTTATGCTTTATTTTTAAGTAGGGAACTTCTCAACTTCCACTCTTAAAAACTTCTGCCATTTTTTTTTTCCGTGTGAGAAAAATTCTGAGAAAACTTCTGAGTGATGTTGATTTTTTCTTCTGCAAAAAAATGAAATAGAGGCGGAGATTTTTGAACACCGCAAACGAGATACGTGGTTTGGGAATTACACCGTCGAAATGCTCCTGCTACACTTATACGGAAATTCACTCAGCTTCAATTCTTGAAAATTTCCGTGATATCCCGTCCCTGTCCGGAGAAAACTCTGTGGAAACTTCAAGAAATGATATTGATTTGTTCTCCTTCAAAAAAAATAATATGGGAGCGGAAATTTTTAAACACCTCGAACGAAATCGTAGTTTGGTAATTACGTGAACTCACGTAAATTACGTTAATTTACGTAAATTTTACCAGGCTTAATTACTCGTAAATTTTACTTAAAACAATGAACACAGTGGGTTTCCTGAAAAATAATTTTAACGGTTTTTTAGTACCTATTGCTTTTGACGGTGGCTACAACTGGAAAAGAATTCCTTACTTCTGGGTCATCGATTCAGAGGCGGGGACGGGGGAATAAGGGGTTTCGTCTCGTGCGAGCCGATATTGAAATTGATAGACAAAGCTGTAGACCAAGAGGACAAGATGGATATGGAGGGATCCTATTGGTGGAAGCGTATGGATTTAATGGACAAAGGTGGTAAGTAACAGACTTACCAACGGCTACCCGCTACCCAAGAGTGACCCGATAGTTAATCCATCAATTTCGCTCTTATAAACCATGGATGGGAACCACCCATTTCAACCAATAGGATAGTTTCATACTCCCTGTGTCTTCTTTGTCTATTGCTTTGTCTATAAAGTTCAGTAATCAGCCCGCAGTAATTACGGGTGATTTTCTACCAATTGCAACAAAGTATTTTGGACTGCGCTGCCGAGCACTTACCAAAACGAGCTTGGCGTTGATAGGTGTTCGTAGTTTATGCAATTCACCAATTAGATATGGTCTGATTGCACTAAATGTGGTGATTTCTCGGAACACAAACACGATCAGAATAAGTCGAAGCGGGAGCAACACTTTTCTACTGGTCATCTCTTTGAACTGTGTCTTGAGATAGCCACCTTCTTTAATGAGACCATCTGGAGAAAAAAATCGATAAAATCCATGATCTGCGAGACAACGCAATAAAGAAATTTCGGATTGCGATTTGCAATCGGAACTGAGATTACAAAAATGGGAGTATGGCTTTCAATTAAAAAAGAGCTCCTTCTTACTCTCTTTATCAGTGGCGAGGCGTGAATGATCGATTAACGATATTTCCCCATTTGAGCTGTGGTAAAGAATCGATTATTAGGGTCTTCGCTGCGAACACCCTAATAACGATCCTTTCCATAGGTTTAAATTGTAGATAAATCGATATAATGCAAAGCACGCCACGCCACTGCTCCTTATCCCACACTTGAAGTACAAATGAGTGTTACTTTGTCGGAGGATATAATTTCTACTCATTCTTAAATCTTATGAAAAACTTAACCGTTCAAGGTCTAAGGGATGGAGTAAAAAATCTCAAAATTAACGTGCACTGGAAATGATATTCGGTTACAGGGCACAGTGGTCTAGAAGCAAAACAAAAACGCGACAAAAATCTACCCAAAAACGTTTTGCAGGGAGGTGCGTCAATTGTATGCGTGGACTCAAAATCGCGAAAAATCAAAACCTTGACTGATCATTATTTCGAGGTAAGGCGATTTGAAATTTCCGTAGTAAATGCAAATTTTCTACTGAGTTTGATCCACTTTTTTATTCATGTGTCCATTGAATCGGTGTTGATCGGTTCACGTTTTTATTTTTCGTTCGATTCATGTCGATCGCGTACATACCCTCTCGTCACATACAGACTCCCTATCATACTCTCTTTTTTTTACTGAACAATTCGCCTTCTGCTGCGTCTGCAGCAATTGTTGTTACGAGTATGTTGTGCGTGCTGATTTCAGCTCATTACATACTCGGCTCTCTGAAGGCGTTTAATGTGCGAAAGTAGCGCAATCTGTCGGAGAACGAACAAAGTACGGATTGAGCGATTCATTCGATCTCACTTCTGTTAATCTCCTACAGATTGCGCTACTTTCCCACATTAAACGCCTTCAGAGAGCCAAGTATGTAATGAACTGAGATTAGCACGCACAACATATTTGTAACAACAATTGCTGCGGACGCAGCTGAAGGCGAATTGCAAACAACCGTACAATACGCGTTGTAAAACATTTTAGCTCCTTAATTAATACCGTTACCAATAGAGAGTTGTATTTTGTGGTCTTTTCATGCGAGATTCTTGAAAAACTTTTCAACATAAACTAAAACATAAATTAAATTTAAATGTAAAATGGCAGATCAATCGATGCGTCGCAAAACACGCCACGCCACTGCCTTTGCCCGTGGGCTTGAAGGTAACTAATAAGGTGGCTGATCCTAGAGTACCTTTATAGAAGAGTATGGCCATTCGTACCTTTGTACTACAGGAAAACTGTTCCGCTTTTTGATTGGTCAGCGAGTTTTTAGGCTTCATGATGCTCTTAGGGCCGTAAATAAACAAACAAGATGGCGACTCACCGTAACATCGATAAGGAGCTAAATGTGACAAAAATTTCAATTATGCGGCAGTAGAATTTAAACTAGCATATCTACGAATAACACACGAAAAAAACACGAAAACATTGTTAAATCGCCTTTCACCTTTATTACAGGAGGATGTAAGATGTGCATATCCTCAATCTTGCTTGCTGATAACAGCCATCTTGTTTGTTTATTTATGGCCCTAAGAGCATCGTGTCAGCCTATTCGCTCGCGACCAATGAAAAACCGGAACAGAAATGGCCATACTCTGTCTATAAAGGCACTCTAGCTGATCCTAGAATCGGCATAAAATTCAGCGGTCTCATACCTCCAACTGATTGTGCTGATTTATTTTTCCGCAGCGAATCTTTCGCATGTTTAACGAGTGCCTGAAATTCCTCCTCCACTTTGCCCGGTTCAACCCATCCTCTCAACCAGCATAAGGATTTGCGAGCGTCCTCATACCGATTCTTCACAATTAGCCATGTTGGGGATTCGGGGATCTATTCCAAGAGGCAGAATATTAAAAGAACGAGATGAATATTAAAGCCTCAAAACCAACGTTTCTCAATTTAAATTTAATAAAAGAACAACTTAATTTGGGGAAAAGGCTGCAAATAAAGAAAAAGGAATAAACAAAACCCGGAACGTTTCAAAATAATAACAATTTCATTATCAACCGGAAAATAAATTAAAAACAAAAACGAGCCGCCGCTCCGCTGAAATTGCGAGACCGAGACTCAAATTTTATACGTGAACAAATATTGACCTCATTGAGGATCACCAAAAACCCATGACTGAGAGAGATAAACTTTTACTGGTGCATAAGAGAATGAGCGAATTTAAATTTTTCGCCTGCGAAAAAACTTTTAACAACGTGGGTCGCAAATTCCTGGAGAAAACGATATTTTGTTGGGGAAATTACTTTTTTTAAATTTCAAGAAAATTATCTATTCGTCCGATTTGTAGTGGAGACTTGTGAACTTTCCTCGAAAAATCCTCACCTGGGTCATACACGTGAATGTGATAACTGGGCTTGCGCTGCAGATCAGAGCAACAGATCTCCAGTCGAACAAGTAGCTCAAAACGTACATGACGAAAATTCCTGGAAACGAAATTGACATAATAAAAATTCCGATGTTGTCTTGTTTTCGTTAGTCAGCGATGATTTTCCTACACGTTTACATTTCGATGACCGCATTTGATCAACTTAAAAAGAATAATAACCTCAATGTTCCCAAAATAATTCCCATTGTGATTGCTATCAATGATTCAACTAACTTTTTTGAATCTATCGCAAGACAATGAATAAGACATAGTAAAAACTGCCGACTCAAAATTAGTAATTTATGCAAGTGGATACTTTTCAGATTGCTGGTTTAAGTGATAAAATACTACCTAGTATACCGTCGTGCTAAGGAAAAACGTCGTATGAACATTCGAGAGTTGCCAAATCTCCTTCGATGAAAAATTCATTTTTAAGGAAATTAATTAATATTTTTCCTTGAAATTTTCAGGAATTTTAGGTGGAACTGCGAACAAATTAATCTGAAAAATTAGAAGAAAAATATCCATAAGTTTACCAGGAAATTTGGGTTTTATCAAAGAAAATTTGGCAACACCTGAAGGTTCATGCAGCGTTTTTCCTTAGCACGGCAGTATAGACCAGAACTTCAAGAAAAACACACATTGCCCAGATGAAAACATACGCACGACTTCACGTGTGAGGCACCATCAGCAGGTTTACAATGTAATTTGGACGTATATTTTAATCTAAAAGACCTATATCTATTCTGACATGAGACCTGAAATCCGTCAGAATACATGCATGATAGGGCTCATGGCGGAATGGATATACATCCTTTTTATTGAAATACATCCATTTATTGGTTCAATCAAAGCAATCAAAGCCCGCGAACGAATGTAATTGTATGTTTTTTTTTCGAACAGGTAACCAATAGCACTATGCTGTATGTTTGTTGCCTAATTGAAATCAACCGCAAGTGGACGATATCTATAAATAACTTTGAATACCGTTAGGGGCCTACACAAGTTAAAGTTCCTTAAAAACACAAAGACAATTTTTGGTAAAAACATACTCACTTGCGTGAAAAATTGTTTTTAAAATAATTTTATACGCAAGTGAGTGTGTTTTGACCAAAAATTGTCTTTGTGTATTTAAGGATCTATAAATAAGTTCACACAACGCATGGTGTGTTGATTTTATCAAAGTGCGTAGAGCGCGAATCAGGGCCGGATTAACCTAATTTGCACCCATGGGCCGCCTGTATTTTCCCGCCGCTGCCGCCCCCCCTTTCATTCGTTTTGAAACATCAATCAAACCCATCGAGCGAACGTGCCGGAGAGGAAGAGGTGCATATAAGACGCGTTTACTCGTGTCGAACACATTTTTTGCGAAAACCCTGTCAACACTATTAGCAAAAGTTCACGGAACTTTGCGCGGAAGTTAAGTTCCGTAAACCTATCTCTGTGTGGTCAGGGCCATCCATGTATAAAGACGAAAAAATTATTTGAAAGAACAAACATAAATGTGGTTTAATAATTTTAACATCCGCCGCCGCGCCGCACTGACCGCACTGTGTTTGGCGCAATACTGGAAGTATTCCTACAGTGTTTTAGGCAATGTGCGTTTTCACGCCGACCGCTGCTGACCGCAATGTGTTCGACGCAATGCGTGAAATATTCATGCAGCCTTGTAGACGCTATGCGTTTCACGGTAACCGCACTGTATTTAACGCAATGCGTGCAGTATTCATGCAGTCTTGTAGGCGCTATGCGTTTCACGCCGACCGCTGCTGTCCGCACTGCGTTTGACGTAATGCGTGAAGTATTCATGCAGTTTTGTAGGCGCTGATATGTGTTCACTGCCAACCGCCGCACTTAGGGCTTCTCCTTTTCATCTCAAGTTCTCGTCATCATTGCTCTCTGCGCCGCGCCGCGCCGCGCCGCTCCAGGCCAAACTGTGTGTTTGGTTTCTCTCTTAACTCGAATAATTAAAGGTGCTGTCTCTTGTATCACCGAAAGACGACAAAATTAGAAATTACTATACTCTCAGGAAATACGAGATTTTGTCGCCTTTTCTCGTTTGTTTTTTTTTTTCTGAATCAGATTTTTTTTACACCTACATTTAAAAATAATTGCAAAATTTGCCGCCCCCGAATTTGCCGCCATGGGCCGCGGCCCATGTGGCCACTCCCTAAATCCGGCCCTGGCGCGAATATTATTTCTTTCAAATAGATACCGCTTCGCGGCCCGGGGTAGGCAGGTTGCCTATGCAACTAATTTGAGGGTCAACCTCAAAATCATGACGAAACTCCGGCAGCTCAGATTAGATTCGATTCGATTTCGATTCGCGCACCTCAGTATGACTTTACTGTTGCATAACGCACTTCGTTAAAACTTCATCGGAACTATGAAAAAAACCTTAAACGAAGATGGATAAAGAACATTTTTTTAAACTGATCAAAACAACTTACTTTTTATTGTTTCTTTAAACCACGATGGCCATTTCGGGCAAGGTGTTCATCGTCAGGTGATTAAAATGGATCGAAAATTAAGAGGATAAGAATGATGTGGTCGCGACGCAGTTGATATAGCACAACTCTCGTCCACTCGATCAACTGATATCACTTCTAATAAGTTGTTTTGATATTCAAAAAAAGGTTATATATCGACGGTGAAACTACCAAACCACGTATCTCGTTTGCGGTGTTTAAAAATCTACGCTCACATTTTATTTTTTGGAAGTAGACCAGATCAATATCATTCCTTGAAATTTTCACAGAATTTTCTTTGCGCGAAGAGGAAAAATCACAGAAATTTTCAAGACTGGACGTTAAATAGTTTTTCATTTAAAAAATAAAGTATGACAGGAAGTCTGCGACGTCGCAAACCGAGATACGTGGTTTGGTAGTTTCACCGTCGATATCCATCCTCGTTTAAGGATTTGTCTCTTCAGTGTGTTCGATGTCTATTTGGCGTAATTGAAGGCAAACTTTAAGTGGACGATACCTGAAAATAGATTTACGAATCGTTCATTGTTTTCGGCAAAGTTTATGGAGAGAGATGCAAGTGTTCGAATAGATAAGCTCTAAGATTCGAGCCCTCGTATAGGTTTGTTGCCTGTTCGCTGAAATTGTAGGCGAATCAAGCGGACGATATGTATCAACAGAATCATACAAAAAGCCTCCACCGTTCCCAAGGTACCATTGGAGTGTTTCTCATGTCTCTGATTTTTACCTATTAAAGTGGCAGACGTGGAGATAGATGAGAGAGTCCCCCTAAGATGCGGTTCGCTGACTTCACCGATGTAAGAATGGATGGGTGCCTCGGTGAGCCCTGTGCACATCCCTGTGATTGCGGACACCATGTAAAGAACGTAGATGGATTGCGCGAAGTGCAGGGACATCCACGCGATGAATGTAGGAATCGTGACTATGACCATCGTGGTTTTCCGTCCGAATTTGTCTTGGAAATACCCGGACAGTAGTAGACTCGCCAAAGGGTGGCAGATGAAAGGTAGGCTCCCTTTTGAACGATTATAAAACAGGAACAGAAAATTATGGTACACACGTTCTCAAAGAGTATGTCTGTCGCAGGCAATAAGTCTAATCAGGAATGCCTAAGCAGATTGTCAAATTTTGATAGTTTACGAAATTTCGTAAATCTAATGCGAAGAGCTAACGAGTTATCAATATTTTGGAAAACAATTAGGTACTCATTAAATCTTCGAACTATCCTTGTTTTTTCCTCTATGAATGCTGTTCATTTCTACTGTTAAAATTTTGAAATTCTATGATTAATGATTTGCTATTTTCAAGATAAATCTTCATTTAGGAACTTAATTTTTTCAAACATTTTTCTATGATGCACATTTTTACATAGAATTCTTTCTTACACTAGCGATGAACTATTTGGTCGGAAATTTGGAATATAATCAGAAATGTAATCCAAGTAATATATTTGACTTTTTGCCGATGTATTGGACAAAACGCCTGATTTGACTAATTTCCTGCGCCTTTTCGGCGGTGTCCACAATCACATATCTCGTTTGTGGTACGCTTTTATTTTATTGTATTTTTTATTTTTTTATTTTATATCGTCCCTTGAAGTTTTTGTAGACTGTTCTTCGGACAGAGGAAAAAAATCGCGGCAGTTTTTAAAAATTGCTGTTGAGTATATACTTGTCCGTTTAAATAGTACGGATTGACAGGAAGTCTGCCACGTCGCAAACCGAGATACGTGATAGCGGGCTTACACTGCCGATATTCTTTACAATCAAGAGAAAATTTATAAAAAGTTGCGAAACACTGTGTTGTTTAGGTTTCTGCAATAAAAATAAAGCGTGAGTGAAAATTAAGCATCGTAAAGTGCAAAGGCTATTTTATACTTGACAAGGAAAACAAACCCTCGATCCAAAATAATAAAGTTGAATTTTTAGTTTTTTGAAGGTCAAATTCGACAGTTTTTGTAGAATTGCCCATATGTGATTCATGCCAACCGGTTACCGCCCTGTACTAGGCGTAATGCATGAAGTATTCCTACTGGCATGTAGGCGTTGAGATGCTTTTCGAGTCGACCAGCGACCGAACTGTGCGGGGCGTAATGCGTACAGTATTCCTGCCTTCTTGTAGGCGCTAAAATCCGATGTAACATTTCGCAAGCCCAACCCCCCAAACTCTAATAGCGCGATTAAATTTGGCAGTTGCCGATGTGGCTTGGTTGCTTTCTGCTTAACGCCTGTTAATTTCGTCAAGATGATAAGAGTCAAGAGATGTGTTTTTTAGGAGTCAAAAAACGATGCTTTCTGTCAACAGCCGTCCTCGCTAGCCTATTTGAGAGACTCACCAAACCAGGATGCTTGCTCGTCGCTCATACTAAGTGCCTCCTCGGGGTTCAAGTGGAGTGCGCCAATGACAGTTGTGATCATCGCCGAGTACAGACCCATCTCGATGAGTAGCCAATTCTGGATTAGCGTCACCAGTACCTGTGAGAGATCAAGCGCGCATGAATAGGATAACCCGAGGGGTCGTCTTGAAATGAACGGAGTTAAGAGACGTGCCAAGTCGCATCAGGTTTGAGCTGAGAAAGATAGGTTCGATAAGTCTCAGTGTTACGGACTAAGTTAAGGAGTGAGGAAGACCAAGTCAAGAAATTCTTCAATTTACTTCGAAATCTCCTCTTAACCAAGGCATTATATGATATAAAAACGAATTTCTGACTCCAGCTGATGAGTAGCATTCTATCAACCACCACTTAATTTAACATTTTACAATTATAATTTATATTTTGAATTATTGTATATTTTATTTCCTATTGTTCTTTGACTTGTGCCTTAGTTCCAATAATGGGGCTTTAATATACGAAAATAAAATAAATCAATAAAAAAAAAATTAATGTTATGCGATTATTTTTACGTTCAAAAAACTTTTTCTCGACTTTGAATTTTTGGCAGGAGAGATACTACGACTACTCAAATTTAAAACTATTCTGAAATGATACCCTTTTCCAAAATGCGAACCTGTGCGTTTCTGTTAAACTCAGTTTGAATTCATCGCCCCTCTAACGTAAGGACACATCTCAATTTTCACGTGAGCCCTGTTTTACGCATAAACCCATGCTCTCTGGAGCTCATGTGGAAATCAAGATTTGTTCTTACATCAGAAAGGGCAACGATAAAAACATTTGGTAATATTACCGCTTTTTTATCCCCATTTTCAATCGTCCCGTGTACCTGTAAGGCACCTCTAGCCACCCTCTAAAACAACTTGTTGAGTTGAGCACAAAACCCGTCCTTAATTTTTGAAATCAATGAGGAACAGTGAAAACACTCAGTGTAATAAGAATGGCATGTTAGAAGCAATTCTCACTTGGGCAAAAGTCGATCTTCTTGAATAATTGTACCGGTTCTTCATGCTTGGTGACTCGTTCCAAGAGTCCAGACTTTCAGGCTCTTCGGCTTGACGACACATTTTAGTTGATCTTCTAAACAGAATTCAGCGTACCTCCAAAAATTTGAACCAAAAATTTCCTACTTTGTTTGTGGCGTCTGAAAAAACATTCGTATTGACACATACAGAAAGGATACACCATGTGACAACGAATGGAGAACTGCTCCGATGGAATGGAACTAAAATTTTTGGCTCATTTGTAAAAACACATATGTCGATAGGGAAGTGAATGATACATTCGTTGCTTTTAAACTGAGGCAAAAGTTGTAGTTCCTAGTTGCAAAATGTAGTCTAAATACTCGCGGCATGGGAAAAAAGAGTAAATCATTGGCTCCCTTGAATAGACAGAAATCGACATATGTCTACCAAAAGTTCATAATTTAGCGAACATTTTTTGGATTTCATTTCCCTGGTAAAAATTGGCGATAAGAGCTGCGTTTCAAAATACCATAGGAATTCTAACAGCCGGCTAAAGAAGGCTACAGAAAATCATATAGCTGGCTGTAGAATGAGGAGAAAATCGTACGGCCGGGCTATGCGAAGCGATAAAAAATCATACAATATTTTTTTTCCCTCAATTAAAATGAGAATAATCCATACAGGATGTGCAAACATTTCAAAATCATGAGTTGAATAACGCTGACTCCGCCAGATTAAATATTAGAGCCTAACACAAAGCGGAGCGGCGTCGCACTGGCGCCTACAAACCTAACAGGGATACTTCACGCATTGCGCAACGCGTGAAGTATCCCTGTTAGGTTTGTAGGCGCCAATGCGCGTTTCGCGCTGGCTGCCCGCCTGCCGCGCCGCAGCGTGCCGCCCACGGCGCTTGAAGCAACTATTTCACACCAGAGGTATTGCACAGTATCATACGAAACTGAAGGCGCTCTCTTACAGCTGGCTGTAGGTCTACGGTATTTTGGAACACAGATTCTACTGCTAATTTTTTGCAGGGTTTGTTTTAAAATTTTTACCCGCATAGCAAGGAAGAAAAGGAGTACGAACATATTGGTAAGCAGGGGATGCAGGTTTCAAACGCATGCACAAGAGTGATTAGACCTTTGGGAGAAGCTTTTCTCACAGAACATGAAAAATCTCAACAGAAAAATATATTGAAATTTATCAGTTCGCCGGGAATCAAGCCTGAACACCTGAATTTGTTCCTGAACAATTTAAAGTAATTTATCACATTTGGACTGCATTTTGTAATTTGGACCATTAATTCCGGCTCTTCTGGAAAAACACTTATGTGCATAGGGAAACTAATGGCACATACGTTGTTTTTAAACCGGGCTAGAATTTATAGTTCCAAATTGCAAAATTTAGTCCATTTTATGTCGACGGTGAAACTGCAAAAATGAGAATCTCGGTTGCGGTGTTTTGAAATCTTCGATACTACTTTATTTTTTTGAAGGTTTCCGAACCAACATCATGGCTTGAAGTTTTCACGGAATACTCTTCATATAGAGATAAAAAAACACTGAAATTTTTCAAAAAATGACGTTCAGTAGATTTAAATGTAGAAAATAAAGTATTACAGGAAGTTTGCAACGCCGCAAGCCGAGATACACATTTCTGCAGTTTCATCATCGACATCCTATCTGTGAATTGAAAAATGCGGAAGCATATTTGCTCTGGACCTTCAGATACAAAAGTGTTGAGAAATTTGCTGTTTTCCATCAAGGCATATAGTTTAAGAGGAAGGATCGAAATTTTTCGCATCATACTCATATCTTTAAATCCAGAACGAGATTTCGGTTAGTTTCATTGCTTACGGCACATTGATTCGCGATTAAATTGTTAGATAAGGTGAAGCTGAATTTATCTGGGGCTTTAGTTTTCTTCAGTTAGCTGTCAATACATTCATCTCTTGAGTATAAAACACTTCAGTTGTGGTATAAAGATTTTACCACCTCAAAAAATTCAAGTGTACATGTATTCTGCCGTGCTAAGGAAAAACACCGTATGAACATTAGAGTTGCCAAATTTCCTTTCATAAAATGCTTATTTTTGAGGAAAGGTATGAATATTTTTCCGAGAAATTTTCAAGAACCTTCAGTAAAATTGCGAACAAAATTATCTAAAAAAATTGACTGAAAAATATTTACAAATTTTCCCGAGAATTCGTGATTTTCCAAAGAAAATTTGGCCACTCCTGAAGGTTCATACGGCGGTTTTCACTAGCACGGCAGTATTAAACAATGATGATCTATGAATTTGGAAGATTTCCGGATCCCAAAGCCTGACTTACAGCCTGAGTTGTTGATCGATTTTTAGATTTTGAGAGTTCTTTAAAACTATTTGGAGGTAATTTATGGGGATTAGCGGATTAATACCCTAAGGTCACATCAAAAGCTACCAGAATATTCCTGCTGCAGAGTAATCAGAAGTCCTCCAAAGATTCCAACGTCTATTCTAACGTTCCATCTGATGTCGGAGTCGGTCTTGATTTTCTAATAAATTTTCCCCATGTCTCCCACGTGTAACGCTCAGAAAGTAAAAGAAAAGTTTGAAATAATGGAAAGTTACTTACCAGTTTTATCACTTGTGTAACGAGGACGCTCAAATGATTAGAATGGAGGCGAGACAGTTTGTCGAGAACGATTTTTCAAACCAGACTATCAGCACATTTTTCCTGAGTAGTGTTACACAACTAATCCATAGAATTTTAAAAATAACAATAAGCGAGGCAAAACGTAGAACTGAACAATTTTAGGAAATTTTCAGAGAAGATAATGACTTAACAATAATATAAAGACATTAAGCTTCGAATGCTAGCAACTAGTTTGCCGTGCCAAGGAAAAACGCCGTATGAGCCTTCAGCCGTTGCCAAATCTTCTTTAAAAAAACACAATTTTTTGAGAAAATTCGTAAGTATTTTTCCATTGAGTCTTCAGAGAATTTTGTTCGCATTTTAAACTAGCACATCTGAAAATTTCAAGGGAAAAAACTCATAACTTTTCTCAAAAATACATATTTACCGAGAGGATATTTGGCAACACTTGAATGATCATACGGCGTTTGTCCTCAGCACCGCAGTAGTATAGCCTCGGTTTTGTGAGAGAACCTGCATTTTTCATCAATTCCTCAGAGGCTTAATCGAGGGGCTTCTCTGATAAAACAATTAGTGTTCTTGTGTTACTTTTGGTAGGTGCAAGCAAATTAAACAGAAATCAACACAACTTTTGTGTCGATTCTGGTAAGTTTGCGGTGACTTCAACGCAGAATACAAAGGAGAGACTGGGGAAAAGCATCCCTCCGATTGCGACGTTGCAGAGGCGTGGCGTGCTTTGCGACGTATCGATTGTTATGCCATTTAAACCTATGGAAAAGGATCGATAGACAGGGTGTTCGCAGCGAAGACCTTAATAATCGATTCTTTACCGTAGGTTCAAATGGCATAACAATCGATACATCGCAATTCACACCACGCCACTGCGACGTTGGTTTTCACCACTCGTTCTTTATTAAATATCGACGGTGAAACTACCAAACCACGTATCTCGTTTGCGGTGTTTAAAAATCTACGCTCACATTTTATTTTTTTGAAGTAGACCAAATCAATATCATTCCTTGAAATTTTCACGGAATTTTCTCCGCACAAAGAGGAAAAATCACAGAAATTTTCAAGACTGGATGTTAAGTAGTTTTTCATTTAAAAAATAAAGTATGACAGGAAGTCTGCGACGTCGCAAACCGAGATACGTGGTTTGGTAGTTTCACCGTCGATATCCTCAAGACAACTAGCTGGCATTTTCTCTTGAAATTGTCAACCGGAGGCTAGGGTTATTCCGTGTTTTACTTTCCGTATTAACCACACTTGTGTGTTGAAATTTCTCTCTGTGTTGGAGCACAACACGTGCAAGTGCAGTTTCTATTATTGCGAGAAGCACATGTTAGAAGTTTCGAAATTACACGGACCCTCATCGCAAAAAGAAAGTTCAAAGTGACTTTTTGATGCCTGAAAATTGGAATTTAGGAGCGAATTTTTCATAAAATATGCACGAAGACTAGTTTTTCTTGGAATCATTGATATCTCAATTTTTTCATAAACTACACTCATGTGCTTTGTCCTCCACGCCCCTTAATTGGACTAAATTTTGCAATGTGGAACTAAAAATTCTACCCCGGTTTAAAAACAACGTATGTGCCATTAGTTTCCCTATGCACATAAGTGTTTATCCAGAAGAGCCAAAATTTATAGTTCCAAATTGCAAAATGCAGTCCAATTCACCCTCTAGGTTAGAAACGACAAGTCACCTTAGAGATCATCGTCAGAAATTCACTGCCTGTCCGAAAATTATTAGACAGAGTTTAGAATAAGATGGAAGCATAGCTGAACGTATTTATGCTAAAAGAAACTACGTTACACGCAAACCCTCTGCACATAGTTACTTTTGGCATAAATACGTCCAACTAAGCCCCACATCCAGTCGCACGTTGATAATATTGCGCCGTTTTCTGCGTTCGCTTGTAACACAGAGTGGTAGCACTTGACATTACTTTAGGGTACTAAACAATTAATCCTCATTAATAAAGTATATTTAAACAGCTTCAGGACGTGAAAAAAAGAAGAAAATACTTTGAAGAATTGAAAATTCTCTTCTTTATACTGCTGCATTCTAATCTCCTTTTCTATTGAAAACGAACAATCTATCCTTCGTCGGGAATCGTTCTCTAAAATGCAGTTTATTCACCCGGCTTAAAACTCCCAAATTGTAATGCCTGTAATGCCCCGCCTTTGTAATGTAAAGTTACGAGGATTATTTTTCTAAAATCCATTCTTACCAATTTGCAAATGTTCTTGTAATATGTATTTTGCCTCGGTGGATCCTCTCTCGTTCTCAAAGAAGTCACGGGGGATGCGGGTTTATACGATCCTCATAGTCATGCGAGGCACGCGTTGAGGTGTAAGCTCCGTCGAACTGAGGTCACCAGTCGAAAACGCCTTCAAATTCGAGTGATACTTCAACGCTCACACTAAAGTTAAAATAATTGCATCATAAATTGCCGTGCAGAATCCTTTGCTTTTCAGAATGCGGACATTCATGAAGGACATTTTCTCTAATTGGGGAAACCTAAGTATATGGACATTGTTAGCATCATTCGACACCGACATGTGTTGCCTTGATATGTGAACCTGAAAATCGATTCCCAATTCTTTTTGGAGGAATACTTTACAAAAGATGAGGAGATGAGGTTGGTCTTGTGAGATACACAATGTTGCTCCTCTCCCGAAACCTGTTCTAGAATACCCACCCATTAAATTTTATATCTTCGCTTTTCTCAACAACGGGCTGATTATTGAACTTGATAGACAAAGCGATAGACAAAAAAGACAAAAGGGATATGGACGGATCCTATTGGTGAAAGCGGGCGATTACAATGGACGACGGAGGTAGGTATTAGATTAAATAACGGCAACCCACGAGAGACCCTTTAGTTAGTCCATCATTTTCTTCTTTTGTGTAAAAGAAGCACCCACCTCGACCGATAGGATCGCTCTATACTCCTTATGCCTTCTTGGTCTATCAATTTCAACAATCAGTCCGCAGGCCCATATCAGCAGCAAAACTCTGAACCATGTGCCTACCTCGGTTTGCGACGTTGCAAAATTCCCGTTAAAATTCATTTATTAAATGGAAAACTACTCTACGGCAAATCTTAGAGAATACTGTGATTTTTCTTTTCCAAGCAAAAAAAAAAATGTTTGGAAACTTCAAAGAATGATACGGATTAAAGTAATATAAAAAATTAAAATAGGAGTGGAAATTTTAAAATACCGCAAACAAGGTACGTGGTTTGAAAGTTCACCATCGACATGCTCAATTGATACAAATTCAGTTTAAAAAACCTCTATGACGTGTTACTTGCCAAGTTAATGTTAAGACGAGCAGTATTCTTTTAAAGAGAGCGTTCATGAATTTCGTATGGCCCTTTTTTTGACCCCCTCTCCCCTACAAGAATTCGTAACGCAACCTTGGAACCCCTTTTTAAAAATTACGTAATACTTGATGGACCGCTCCCTTAAGATCCCAAAAATTGTGAGAAACTGTTGAATGTACGGCTGAATATTTGAAGCATTTTCAATGGTAGAGACGTCAAGAATAAAGTCGAAGAAATGAGGATGACAAATTTTGGATTTTGTGTGTTTTTACCAATATAGGGTATTACGTGGCGCTGGTACTGACCCCCTTCCCCTTGTAACGCAGCGTAAGGCAGACTCATACCTCCTCCCTCCACTAGAGCATTACTTAATGAATGAACACTTCCGTAAAAACACACAGTAAAAGATTAATTACATTGATACATATTGATTTGAGATAGTTATAACACGTCTTAATATGTAGATGACTGCTAATAAAATCAGGCATTACGGTTCTAGTCGAAGCTGCAAACAAAAGGTCCATTTCTATCTAAGCTTTTTGGTCACTGCTACCTTTTAAACCTCCTTTAACTTCAGCAACCACCGAAACACGTTCATGAGTAGGTACTGAACGGATAAGGTCGCTCAATAGAACGGCTTACCTAAGTCTGAGGTGTCTCATACCAAATAAACGGGCTGTTAGAGGCGTGGACAAGTAAAATGAAAATAAATTAGAAAAACTTATCGAATTTTAATATTCATGACGATATTAGCATAACTGCAATGGAAAGTAGAACACAAGGAAAACTGTAAGCTGAATCTCGGAATGGAGCGACTCACAACTTAGTGTAAATGACTTAAACAGTTGTCGGGAAGACACTTCATTTTGACAAATTCATGAAAAGATAAAGATGATAAAAATTAATTCGGGAAATTTCACGTCAACTTTTAAGAACGAGGATTTATTACAAGTGCTTCCTCCCATGCTTGATACAGAATGACTTCTTAATAATGATCTGAGAACCAGCTCAATCACTCCCGATTGAGACTTTAACAGGTGCTCTGAGATAAGCGCAGTTGGTAAGTATTAGAAGTGGTAAGTATTAATTTTTTAAATTTCTTCTTCATTTTAGTTTTTAATATTTCTGCAAAAAATTATCCATTTGCGTATTACAATCCTGGCTTTAGCCCCTATAAACTACGGCCTTAACAATCGAAACTGCAGTAGCGACACAGGAAAACCGAAATACCAAGCGGAAACGCTACTTCAATATTAAGCTTCCATCGCCTTGCTAAGGCGCAGGGATACAACTATTTCAACTCTCCGGAACGCGTGACGTATCACGCCTCAATTGAAGGCGTTTTCGAATCCTCTGTATTTACAGGACAAGATTTTCCAAATTTTTGTGCTTTATATTGTTGATTTGAGTTCCTTTTATTTTTTAGTTAAATGGGCCTGTTGCATGCAAGAGATACAGCCGTGCGAATAGACTTTTTAGAGGTTAAATGACACGAAAATTACGATGGTCACACCAAAAAAGTCTGAAATACGCCCGCCGTTTGCTCGGTTCCGGTGATTAGAAAACTGCCCCCAGACGCGAGAAATTTGAAAAAGCACGTTCCTAACAACGAAAATTGCGAAGTAAGGAGTATATTTCAGACTTTTTTAATGTCACCATCGTAATTTTCGTGTCATTTAACTTCTACTTGACCGGTTTTCCTGTACCGCTACCGCAGTTTCGACCGTCAAGGCTGTAGTTAAGGGCGCTAAAGCCAGGATTGTATTACGCAAATGGATAGTTTTTGCAGAATAATTTAAAATTAAGAATCGGTAGAAATTTACCTAAATAATGAAAGGAACTCAAATGAACAGTATAATGCAAAAAAATTTGGAAAATCTTGTCATGTAAATACAGAGGATTCGAAAACGCCTTCAATTGAGGCGTGATACGTCACGCGTTCCGGAGAGTTGAAATAGTTGTATCCCTGCGCCTTAGCAAGGCGATGGAAGCTTAATATTGAAGTAGCGTCTCCGCTTGGTATTTCGGTTTTCCTGTGTCGCTACTGCAGTTTCGATTGTTAAGGCCGTAGTTTATAGGGGCTAAAGCCAGGATTGTTATTCGCAGATGGATAATTTTTTGCAGAAATATAAGAAACTAAAATTAAGAAGAACTTTAAAAAGTTAAAAAAAGGAACTCAAATCTACAATATGATCAGTAATAGTCAGTCAATATAATTTACAGTCACCGCTTGGTTTCTCGGTTTTCCTCTGCCGCTACTGCAGTTTCGACCTGCTGAATTCCGACTTCCGACCTGGTGAATAATTAAAAATTGGAACTCGAATCAACAATATAAAGCAAAACAATATGGAAAATCTTGTCATGTAAATACAGAAGATTCGAAAACGCCTTCAATTGAGGCGTGATACCTCACACGTTCCGGTATGCGGTATACGTTGCGAAATAAGGAGTGTATTTCAGACTTTTTTAATGTGACCATCGTAATTTTCGTGTCATTTAATTAACTTATGAAAAGTCTATTCGCGCGGCTGTATCTCTTGCGTGCAACAGGCCCATTACTGCTGCTTCTTAATTTTGAATTATTCTGCAAAAATCATCCATTTGCGTAATACAATCCTGGTTTTAGCCCCTATAAACTACGGCCTGAACGGTCGAAACTGTAGTAGCGGCACAGGAAAACCGAGAAACCAAGCGGTGACGCTACTTCAATATTAAGCTTCCATCGCCTTGCTAAGGCGCAGGGATACAACTTTTTGAACTCTCCGGAACGTGTGAGGTATCACGCCTCAATTGAAGGCGTTTTCGAATCTTCTGTATTTACATGACAAGATTTTCCATATTGTTTTGCTTTATATTGTTGATTCGAGTTCCAATTTTTAATTATTCACCAGGTCGGAAGTCGGAATTCACCAGGTCGAAACTGCAGTAGCGGCAGAGGAAAACCGAGAAACCAAGCGGTGACTGTAAATTATATTGACTGACTATTACTGATCATATTGTAGATTTGAGTTCCTTTTTTTAACTTTTTAAAGTTCTTCTTAATTTTAGTTTCTTATATTTCTGCAAAAAATTATCCATCTGCGAATAACAATCCTGGCTTTAGCCCCTATAAACTACGGCCTTAACAATCGAAACTGCAGTAGCGACACAGGAAAACCGAAATACCAAGCGGAGACGCTACTTCAATATTAAGCTTCCATCGCCTTGCTAAGGCGCAGGGATACAACTATTTCAACTCTCCGGAACGCGTGACGTATCACGCCTCAATTGAAGGCGTTTTCGAATCCTCTGTATTTACATGACAAGATTTTCCAAATTTTTTTGCATTATACTGTTCATTTGAGTTCCTTTCATTATTTAGGTAAATTTCTACCGATTCTTAATTTTAAATTATTCTGCAAAAACTATCCATTTGCGTAATACAATCCTGGCTTTAGCGCCCTTAACTACAGCCTTGACGGTCGAAACTGCGGTAGCGGTACAGGAAAACCGGTCAAGTAGAAGTTAAATGACACGAAAATTACGATGGTGACATTAAAAAAGTCTGAAATATACTCCTTACTTCGCAATTTTCGTTGTTAGGAACGTGCTTTTTCAAATTTCTCGCGTCTGGGGGCAGTTTTCTAATCACCGGAACCGAGCAAACGGCGGGCGTATTTCAGACTTTTTTGGTGTGACCATCGTAATTTTCGTGTCATTTAACCTCTAAAAAGTCTATTCGCACGGCTGTATCTCTTGCATGCAACAGGCCCATTTAACTAAAAAATAAAAGGAACTCAAATCAACAATATAAAGCACAAAAATTTGGAAAATCTTGTCATGTAAATACAGAGGATTCGAAAACGCCTTCAATTGAGGCGTGATACGTCACGCGTTCCGGAGAGTTGAAATAGTTGTATCCCTGCGCCTTAGCAAGGCGATGGAAGCTTAATATTGAAGTAGCGTCTCCGCTTGGTTTTTCGGTTTTCCTGTACCGCTACTGCAGTTTCGACCGTTAAGGCCGTAGTTTATAGGGGCTAAAGCCAGGATTGTAATACGCAAATGGATAATGTTTGCAGAAAATTAAAAATTAAGATGCAGGAGAAACCTAACTAAATACTAAGAGGAACTCAAATCAACAATATAATGCAAAACAATTTAGAAAATCATGTCGTGTAAAAAAGAGAAATTCGAAAACGCCTTCAATTGAGGCGTGATACCTCACGCGTTCCGGAGCGTTCAAATAGTTGCATCCCTGCGCCTTAGCAAGGCGATGGCAGCTTAGTATTGAAGTAGCGTCCCCGCTTGGTTTTTCGGTTTTCCTGTGCCGCTACTGCAGTTTGGACGGTTAAATGCGTAGTTTAACTCTAAGATTCTCATTCATCGTACGTTCTTTAAAAGAGCTTATCCATTTTTATATTTATAGAACTATACAAATTTGAATAGCTTTATTTGTTTCGCTCTCTTTTTACTTTATCCATCAATATCTTAGGTTTAAATTTCTTATGGTTATTTTTCATATTTTTATCTTGGTTGAAGTTTGTGATACCTAAATCATCTACACATTTAGTTCCCATGGAAACCCCACTAGTTCTGTTTTCTTTTATAGTTTTCATTGAAACTGTTAGAAGATTGATCGGGCCTTGATGGATAAGCATTCGATACCTAAATAACTATTAATATTAGTTTAAATACACTAGAAAACCAACAATTTCGAGTTTTTCGGCACTAAAAGCCTTCAGAGTGGGTATATTTTGAGCCCTCCGCACTCCACAGATTTCTTTCCTGATCGGAGGATCATATTAATCGATCACGAATTGGACTGCATTTTGTATTTGGAACAATAAGTTCTGGCTCTTCTGGAAAAACACTTATGTGCAATGTGCATGGGGGAACTAATGGCACATACGTTGTTTTTAAACCGGGCTAGAATTTATAGTTCCAAATTGCAAAATGCAGTCCAATTAAGCCTCTCCACTCGCCACGCGCCTTGTTGTGAGCGCGAGCGCAGCCAAAGCGCCTTCAATTTTTCGCGCAAGCAACATGGACATCCCTCGAGTACGAATAGTTGTATTCTAGTGCCGCACGCTGTCTCCAACGTCGCCACTCGTCTGATATTTCGATAAATGTGTGTTTTTCGAATAGATAACTATTCGCGCTCTCCGGTGGGTTTGTTGCCTATGCGGTGAAATTGAAGGCGAACTTCAATGGACGATACTAATAGATTCATCACAACATAGAGCCATAAAAATGTGTGTTTTTCGAATAGACAACTATTCGCGCTCTCCGGTGGGTTTGTTGCCTATGCGGTGAACTTGAAGGCAAACTTCCGGACGACACTTATCAATTCACAAATCGATTGCCGAATATCTTAGTATGAAATGGTCGCATCCCAGAAGATAGATCCGTATTCGGTACTTTCTCACGGGACTCTGAGCACCCAAGTAGCACAAGCAATGAAAATATTGAAATGTTTGCAAGTAAATGCAATGAATTGCACTTTCATTTTTACCGTGAAATTGTAAGATTTTTACATACGTTGATCAAGAAATGCCGATTTTTTTAACCCTTTAATGCCCAGGCAGCGTCATATTGACCCGAGGCTCGCTGAAGACACGTGCCCCGAGGGTTGTATGGTGCCAGTACATAAGTACTAGCTTTAAATATAAAGGTCTACAGCGATACATCCTAAAAAAAATAATCGCACGTCAAATTGAGAAAAATATGAAAACAATCGAGTGTCAACACTGCTCAGGACACCGCCGATTATACCGAAATTGATAGACGAAGCTACAGACAAAAAGAAGACATAGGGAGTATGGAGGATCCCAATTGGTTGAAACTGGTGGTCTTTACAGACTAAGAGGAAAAATGATAGACTAACTGTCGGGTCTCTTGTCAGCAGTTGCCGTTAGTTAGTCTATTACCTACCTCCTTTGTCCATTGTGACCATCCGCTTCCACCAATGGATTCCTCCATATACCTTTTGTCTTCTTTGTCTATAGCTTTGTATATCAATTTAATAATCGGCCGGCTGAAGAAAGGAAAGACTTTACGCAGGCCTCGTTTCTTGGAATTCGAGCAACACCCCATTGGTAGCTAAAAGCAGAGCATTGCTAGCTCACGCCATCGCGCCTTCAATTTTGCAGATGCAATGCGGACATCAATCAAGCACGAATAGTCGTATCTTTGTCCTGACATCAACAAGCGTACTTTGGGCTGCGGGAGCGACACAGTCGACAATAGGAGAGACCTAATCAAGCATCGTTTATTTTAAATTTTCTCCCAAACCTGAGCGACCTTATTGGTAGCATAGAATGGACTCAAGCGGAGCACTGTTAGTTCACGCCTCCCGCCATCGCACCATCGCGCCTTCAACCCACCTTTCATCGCGCCATTATAGATGCAACATGGACACGCATAAAACACAATGCAATGAAATTATTGAAATAAAATTGCGATGCAATGCGATAATATTGCTATTTTATTTTACCGAATGGAATTGCAAAATTTTCATATCATGCGGTCAATAAAATAATGCCGATTTTAAACAATCAATAGGATAAGCTCAATGTGTCAGAAAGATCGGCAATTTACAATATAAAGAAAAAATTGCAACTTATTTCAATTCATTGTATTGTATTACAAAAAAATTCAGTAACAAGTGCCCCTTCATTTAGCAGGTAGGCAACATCCACAACACTCCAATGCAGTGACAGTAATTTTACAATGATGTAATTATTGCAATTTATTGTAATCTCTGGCTCTGCTTCTTGGGATTGGGCATGTCGTGTGATATTTTTCCAAGGTTTTGATATTTTTCCACAAATTTTTCTCTGATCATTTTACTATCCCGGAAAATTTTTATGGAAGAATAAGTAACACACAACTTTTCCCAAGTCCGCCTAAGGAGGCACTCTCGCAATCCATTTGGCCTCTTCCGGCTCTTTCAGGAAAGTTCGCTGCCGAATTGAACTTTCGCGGGTCGGCATCTCGATCTATCGATAGTCAATAGTATAGTATCTCGAATCTCGATTGTTGTTGTTTTCTGCCCGGTGACCTAACCTCCAAATATCTCGCTCTCGCCCCAACACCTAGTTTAGTTTTTAAAATTTTAAGGGGAATAGAAACTACTTGGTGATAAACATGTTTCCATCGAATTGAAGCTTTAACTCACCAGGAACATCGTCCAAGGATCAAAATGTCTCAAGCAGTTGCAAGGTTGCTGTCTCGAAATTTTACTAACATACGAGGTACGGTTCTCATCTGACCTAACTGTTATCATTTTCGTTAGAGATTCTCTTTATCCGGTGCATATCGTGGACGAGGAGTATGTATTAAGCTTGCAAAGCGGAGCTTTCATATTCCGAAAATAAATTGCCTGTGTGTCTAAAGTCCATGGACAAGAACCAACTGAGCCGTCCAAATCATGTCTTGTTGTGCGTTGGATAGTTTCAGTCTTCAGGCGCATCACGGAGGTCTGCTTGTATTTACAGGTCTAAAAAATCATTGAAGACTTGGTTTTTGTTAAGAAATGAAGACTTTTAAGGATGGGCAATACTGTTCGAAACTTGTAAAAATTCAGAAACTGCGCCACAGGCCTGTAGAATACGAACCAGAGAGGGATAGAATTGTTTTAACAATATTCTGGTTTTGATGTAGGAGCACAGCAGTAGTTATTAGAGAAATAAAAATAATCAATTCAATAATTTGGCTCTCACTTTGACACATAACAAACGCAGAGATATACACAGTGGACTTGAAATGAGAGGAGTACCTGTGAAGCGAGAGAATGCACAGGTGTGAAATTCTGAAAATCCAGCGAGCCTTCACCTTGGCCCTCTCGAATAAAGTTAGGGCCCCAAAAGGCAGCAAACCTATAAATGCAAGTTATCAAGAAAAATGTATTTATACAATTGTTACTAGACCCGTTGTTTGTGAAGACTTAGCTTTTGTATTAATACACTCATTCTTGTGGAAGAATGCTTATTTATGAAGATTCTTGGTTTGATACCGGAATCTGAAGATTGGTAGCGACACTTTGTGTATTAAAAGGTTGGCTGCCCTTTTGGATCCTACACCCTCCCCAAAATGATCACTCCTTACTCTCACTGTACTGCTGTGCTGAGGAAAAATGCCGAATGAGCCATCGGGCGTTGCCAAATTTCCCCTGGCGAATCACTCATTTTCAGGAAAATTTGTGAATGTATGTCTACCAATTTCTCAGATAATTTTGTTTGTATCTTGATATAAAACGTGTGAAAATTTCAAGGAAAAATATTCATAATTCTCCTCAAAAATAAACATTTTATCAAATGAAATTTGGCAACTCTCGAGCGTTCTTCCTTAGCACAGCAGTATACAGGTACTCTAAAAATGAGCTGTGGGATAATGAATTTATTAATGGCATAGGGATTTTTGCTCTTCCATTCACTGTGTCCTATTGTTTCTTTTTGCTTTCAGGACTTCTGAACCCTAGCAGCAAGGCTATCATTTCTCAAGAATACACCGGTACTGGATTCCCTCATTGGCAAGTGAACAAGTGTAACAGACCTGCTAATTATCATACTCATCATGATGGTTCCTCCAGAATTTCAGGGAGCATAAACTTTGCCGCCATTTTTAACTCTACAAAATTAAATATTATTGACCCAATTACCCGTGAGCAAAATGTTATAGATCCCCGCATCATCTCTAATGTTGATATCTTAGACACTCCAAAGATAAAAAAAATAATTGATGAGCCTGACCAACCTCATGTAGTTGAAAAGCAAGCCCACAGAATGATCAACATTCGAAGGAGGAAAATGAAGAAACACAAATTGAAGAAGTTACGTAAAAGGATGAAGTTCGAGTGGAAGAAAAAGGCTCTTAAAAGAGAGAAAATCAAGGAAAAAGCTTTTTATATGGAATTGTATGCCCAAATTCGCACTGCGGAAACCTTCTCTCCGCAAGATTATGCTGCTGAGCAACGCAAAATAATTAAGCAGACATATTTGCCCCTTGAGTATGAAAAAATGCCTCAGTGGTATCTGAAAGAGACATTGGACAAGGAAAAAAGGATAGCCAGGGAAACGAAGGAGCATGAGGAAGGACTTAAGGCATTAGCTGAGTTTCAAAAAACCTATAAATGGTCTGATAAATACTAATTTTGTTATTCTCTTCGTGTCTCTTTTTAATTCGATTGCAATTATCCCGATTGTTTCTACTGTTGTTTTTGTATCAAATGTTTGTTTTAATAGATGAGAGGAAAGAATAAACTCATCTTTTCCAACACAGAATTTCATAATTTTATTTCATATCTCATCAACCTCTTGATCCATAATCCCCTTATATTTTAGGACAATTTCCGACATAAGTGTAAGGAAGTAATGCATTTTCTAACCGTGACAAGCTCAAAAGAGTATTTTTGACTGAAGGAAAAGAAGCCTCAAGTTGTAGTTGGAGGAATGGTTCCCATAGGTTTGAAACAGGAAAGGCATTAGTTCTCAGCATCAACTTAGAATTGAAACCTAATTTTCTAAAGACTTGGAGCTTAAGTAAGACATTTATGAACATGGAGCACAGTTTTTTCATGAAACATCCCACTGCTGATATGCAGACATAAGTGAAAATTAGAAAATACCAGACTCAGAGAGAGGAGATTAGATATTCCAGTTTTTAAGGAATAAAAAGTGAAAAATGCAAGACAGAGTGATTTCAAAATTCCACATTTACAAGAAAATCCGTTAAATCCAATGTTAACTGCATTGTCTTTGTCTCTTGATACCTTTTTGGATTAAATTCATACAGATAGATAAGAGAAAAGTAATTCTTGCAGTAGTTAAAATATTTGTAAAGAATAAATGATCGTGAAGTTCACTAAATGAGTTATAACACAAAATGTTTCTGTTTCAATAAAAAATTCATTTTAATCAATCAAAAGATTTTATACATTGTATGTACAGTTCATCTAATTCGAGTCTATTTATAGAAAAATAAAGAAGAGGAAAACAACTCGGAGAAAACTGAAAAAAAAATAACAAATAAGGAGTTGATGGCAATGACGAAAATAAACTAGTGTTCTCCCAATTCAGCTCGAGATTTCCCAACAGCTTTAGGCATCCTTTTGTTTGTTGAATCTTCCAGTTCTCGAGGCTGATAGTAATGTGGCGCCACTTCTAACAACCATTTGCTTTCAATTTCTGTCACCTGCAAACAAATTGGATAAAGCCAGATGTTGTGAGACAATGAGCATGGTGAAATGAAATGGACAGATTTATCTAGAATCAGTCTCTTCTCTTATAAGAAGTACATGCACACAATTTTAGGTCACAGCGTTGCTCAGTTTTCTGTTAAAGAAGTAGAATACCTAAGAGAGGAACTCGTGCAACGTCGGATGTAGTTAGGGCGCTTTTGTTAGGATATATTTAGATACATACAAAACATAAGTTTCAATTTTAAATCTACATAATTACAAATAAGCAACGATACAAGGTTTGAGCTAGAGGAAAAAGTCACATTTTTCCTCTTCAAAATTTTGCGTAGCAAAAGCTTCACACGATTGGAGGTTCTGAAACCAACTCCTGAACATACATATTAAAAGTATTTTTAACATGGATTAAATGGAGGTTACATCATACAAATGACATAATTTGTATTTTTGCCATTAACCAATGTTAATTGTTAACACTTTCATCTTGTTCAGGAGTTGATTTCCAGACTTCGCGTCGTGTGATGCGTTTTCCTCATCAAATTTTAAAGAGAAAACATGTTACGTAGGGCTTTAACTCTGACCTTGTCTTGTGGCCCACTGTTCTAATTTCTTGACGACCAAAACATTCTTGATGAAATTTACTAATTTGATACTTATCAGTTTTGCTTGTTCCGTTGGAAAAAGTAAGAGAAAAAATATTACCAAAAGTAAGAAAGACTGACCTGTCGCATGAATTCTTTGGTCGTGAAAACAAGTTCATGATACAAAACCCAGCGAGGTAGGGATTCGAATAAACAGCTATTCGGATGAATTATCACAGTTTGATTATGTTTCACAGTCTTATAATGCCCACCTTTAGAAAGCCTAGCGATATGGTAGAAATAACCAGCAGTGATTGCCTGAAACAAGAATGTCATTTGCTTTAATGTGGATCAGCTTACATGGGAATTGAATCTTAGTTCCTAAGTGTTTTATTAGCTAAATGGTTCTTGTAAGTAACTTTAACTTTGAAGTTGGGAGCTCACAATGTAGTTAAAATCGGCTAACGTCTAAAAATGCGATTCTTAAATTGCAACATTGTAGGTCTCTGATCATGTTTCATTTTTTTGTAAGGAAAATGAACAAACGGTTGCTATTGAAATTTTTGTTTAATTTTGTTCACAAATTCTAAAGAAAATTACATTAAAATGCATGGAAAATTTGGAATAATTTCCCTTGAATAAAATAAAACTTAATCTGAGATTTTTAAATGCTGCAATTGAGATATACTTTTTAAGCATTTAGCAGTCGATGTACAGAGTTGCATCAAAGTAAAAAAAAAGTTTTCATAATACTGTCTCGACAACAATACAGTCCCAGCTGACATTTTCTGCAGAATGGATAGAGATGTTAATGTATTCTATAATAAGAAAAAGACAAAATCGTCTTTCAATGTGTTAGAATTTGGCAAGAGATTCCTGTAGATGAAATGAACGTCCACCTGTTTCACTCTCAGATTGACGTAAATAACATTTTTTCCACTCCACAGTCTAATTTTTGGCAATTTTTTCACTGTTACAGGCCATTTTTCCCCTAAGGCAGCATTACAAAACATAATCTTTTATTTATCTTTTACTTCTAGTCGTGAAAAAAAATTACTCAAAAAGCGAATAAAAACATGGATTGTTTGGACATGGTTCCTTCCGCTAAGTAATTATCTGATAACCATAATTAGAAAAGGCCTGAGATAATGAGGCTATTATTTTTTATTTAAATGAATGAAATTGTAAAAATATTAAAAGACTGAAACGTCTATATCTGGTTAAGAGCCAAAGAGCCATTATTAAATTTTCACTGATTCAAGGTGCCAGAGGAGAACTCGGTGAGCAGTTTCATTACTCGCAATGTAATATTTTAGAAATTGAACATCTTCTGCTGGGCATTAAATATTACTAAATACTAGGTTTTTTTCATTTTCAATTTCTTTTTTACTCCGTATCTCGAGAGTACAAAAAACTAAATAATTAAAAAAAAGGTGAGATGCGTTTCCCACCTACGGACTAAATATGATGGTACTACGATTGGATTACAATTCAGTAAATGTAAGTTGACCACTGGAGCACTGGTACCTTTAAGAAAACCTAAAAATAATCATACCTTTCTGATATTAACAGTTTCTGACGGATTCGAGACAAGCTCCATTTCCACTCGCTGCATTAATCCAACAAGCTGTTCCCGGATGTCTCGTGCTCTTTTCATTGATCTGTAAACATAAATTTGACCAATGAGTTAGTAATAAAGTGATGAGGAGACTAAAAGAAGCCACTACAATGCTTGAACAGAACTTAGAAAATCAGAAAATACAAATTCAAGAAGACAATTGAAGGTTTTTGATGAAAGATAGGTTAATGATTGGTAGGCAGGTCATGGTAACTTTCAGCAATTAAGTGTACCAATGTACAAACTGATGGATTAATCTTTAAAAGCAGTTCTGAAAATTAAACATCTATCCTTGTAAAAACATAAAATGGATTTGATTGAAAATTATCAAACTGTAGAATGTGAATTACTCAAAAAGTGACTAAAACAATCAATTTTTTACAACAAAGTAATTAACAATTATGAAAGATGCAAGCATAAAGAAATCTACATTCTGATTTTTGACCTTAGAAGTATTTACTTAAAATTCAACTTATTTGTGGAGAGAGCTATCAAGTATGATCCAAAATTGTTCTGTGATTTTCCTTTTTTTTATTCTTTTTGTAAATTAAATTTTTAAGATGAAATTGAAGCTGGAAACTAATCCAGTTATAACGGTTTATAAAAATATGTTTGAATAGTGTCAAGGTCAAACTATCGTGAGATGGCATAGCCGTGAGATGACAAAAATAAAATATATAGGTTTCAAAATGAACCTTTTATAAATTCCTTTGGAATTTGTTCACCAACGAGTGGTTTTAAATTTCCAGCAAAAATATTGAAAGACTAGAATTATGCTGCAATAAAAAGTGACAGGAGAGAGGCGAAGTAAGTGGGCATTGTTTAAGGGTTGAAACGCAGGAGCATTTGCTCACTTAAAGGATTCAGACTCAATGAGGCAAACAATCTTTGAGCAACAGACCTCGTTAGTGCTTCGCCTCTGTCCCTCAACCGCTTTTTTTTCGTAATGGGGACAATGAGTATCCTTAAACTCGTTTTCAAAGAACAACAGAGAGTTTACCTGTATTGAATGAAATTTTCATAACACCACTGAGTTGAGAAATCGCTAGCTTCCCACTGGTTATATACATTGAGGAGCGTCAAATGGTCACCTCCAGGAACAAAGAAGTTTTTCCTTGCAGTATCTGCATGAATGATTTTATCTTTCGGTCGGTAATAGATTGCACTATTAACGCTTAACATTCCTGCAATTGAGACTATTTCATTGGAGCATTTGTACTTTTCAGAGGCTAACAACATTTTAGCCATCATAGGATCGAGAGGGAACTCAGCCATACGCCGCCCAAGTTTCGTCAGCTCTCCATGATGATTCAACGCTCCAAGAGCATAGAGCTGTTCCAAAGCCAGAACGAGGGTTTCATGTGGAGGAGGGTCTAAAAAGTCGAAATGTATTAGGTCATTGATGCCTAAGGCTTTTAAAGTTAGAACAGCGTTTCCTAAATTTATCCGCTGGATTTCTGGAACTGTGTTATCCTCTAATTCGTGTTTGTATGCCCATGCTGTGTACAGTCGGAAGCACTTTCCTGCTGCTACTCTGCCAGCTCTCCCGGCTCTTTGGTTAGCGCTTGCTTTGGAGATTGGAACCACAATTAAAGACTCCATTCCTGTTCTTGAATTAAAGCTGTTCTGTTTGCAGAACCCTGGATCTATGACATAGATAATGTTATCTATCGTTAAAGATGTTTCTGCTATGTTGGTGGCCAGAACGACTTTTCTTGCATTCGGAGGGGTTGGTAAAAATATCTTTGCTTGCATGTCACTTGGTAAATTGGCATAGACAGGGAGAATAACAAGTTCTTTGATTTTTGAACCTAGCCTCCGTACTCTATCTTGTAAAATTTCTTGACACGTTTCGATTTCTTCTTGACCGGTTAAGAACACTAATATATCTCCTAAGGGTTGAGTTGCATGAATTTGTAAAATTGAGACAACACAAGCATCAATATAATCAGCTTCCGGGGCTTTCGTGTAGAAAATATCCACGGGAAACCGACGACCGGGTATCCTAAAGATCGGAGCATCGTCAAAAAATCCAGAGAATTTCTCTGCATCTAGAGTTGCACTTGAGATCAGCAATTTAAGATCTGACCTAAATCTAACAATATCTTTCACTAGTCCAAATAAAATGTCTGTATGCAAGGTTCTCTCGTGAGCTTCATCAATTATCATGACGCTGTAGCTTGCCAGATCAGGTTCCGATAAGAATTCTCTGTGCAGGGTACCGTCAGTCATGTACTTGATGACAGTTCTTTGAGACGTGCAATCTTCAAAACGAATACTATATCCAACTTCTGTTCCTAGTTTGACACTCATCTCCTCCGCAACACGTGCAGCTACTGACATCGCAGCAACTCTCCTGGGCTGGGTGCATCCTATTTTTTTATCATCTTCGGTGAAACCAGCCTCGTAAAGGTACTGAGGAATTTGAGTCGTCTTACCAGAGCCAGTTTCTCCTTCTATGATTAAAACCTGGAAGAATAAAGGAGGAATTATTACTTTCCAAACGTCCATGACCGCAGCCTTTATTTCCAAAAACATTTTACCACAATCCCTATTGAAGAGTTAACTGCGCAGGATTTTCCTGAGTCAAGATTTGTCTCTGGGAAAGAATTTCAGAGAGCTTGGAAATTGTACATAGAGAAGAAGAAGAAAGTGCATATAATGTTCAGAACAATGAAGAATATTCACAAACGGAAAAAATTAAAATATGAAATCAAGGGAAGATATTTAAACTCACTTCTGTTGAATATTCCCTTCAATATTAAAATCAACCGTTTTTATGGGCCCAGATCCCTAATTTTAGTGATTATAGTTTCAGAATCCAACAAGACAGAGAAGGAGCCATTTAAGAAATGCTGTCTAATTTTAATCTGTAATGACTAAAGAAACATTCATTTAAAAAGAATTTCAGACAAACTCCCCATGATTTTTAAGTTCCAACTCCGCCCACAATGACTGACATATTCAGCATTGATAAGAGGATTGACTTGAGGCAATACACATTCTGCAGACGCGACCAAAATAAATTTTGTTCTGCTAATTTTTTGTGCATTTTTCTGTAAGACTTGCTTAGAGGAAAGATAGGTTGAATTGATGATTCAATTTGCAGCTCTTTCCAAGTTTTTTTTTTCTTGTAAAAACAGATCCTTAGCGATTTTAATGATAACAAGGATGAATGATTGATCATTTTTTGTAGTCTAAAAGTAATTAATTCACTTTCCAAAAATTTCCTAGAAACAGTTTGCTCTTTGTCACTAGATAAATTAAAGAAGGATTCGATTTTTAGACTTCCTGCGATATTCCTGATGCAGGTGCAAAGATTTTGATAATGAAATATTATCTCTGTGAGGGTAAATTTAGTTTTGATAGATTTCAAAGTTAACGTAGTGATATACCTACTTGATGGTCATGTATTGCTTGAATGAGATCTTCTTTAAAAGGATAGATAGGTAAACTTTTCTTCGTTTCAGCTATTGACTGCTTTTTCCGTTCTTTTTCTGACAACTCTGGTTCTTTCTGGAAATCAAAAGTTGATAAAAGTTAAGTTTCATTAAATCCAGATGAGATTTTACCAGCTGTCGTAGGTAAGCCACATAGAGTGCAGGGTTGCTACAGAGTTTAGAAAATGAAGTTCCCTGACATTTCCCGAACACATTTTGGTAAAATTCCTTGACAATTATGGATATGCCAGATGATTTAAGAGACGTAAACTGAAATAGTTCCCTTGCAAAATTCGTTGTTTGAATTGTCAAACCCATTCTAGAGAGCAAATAAAGGTGTCTTAAAAATTTCTCCCTTCCACTTTCCTCATTTTCCCTCATATTTCCCAGTTCCCCTGGTATTCCCTGATCGTAGCAACCCTGAGAGTGGACATTTTTTTTTTGATAAAACGCAGTACTTTTAACGTTTTTTGATGGCATGTTTAAGTTTCATAAGCACTGAAGTCAGCGTAAACAATGAAAAAACATGATGCATTTTAACTTCCTTACATTAAAAAAAAGAATTGAAATGGAAGATAATTTTCCTCTTTTATTTGAAGTATTATAATGGTGTTAGTTTAAGTTTTTAATCACAACATTGAAGGAATGCAAACATTGAAACTCCTAAAAATTTTCAAATCACTATTTAAGTGGCTAATGTTGCAGTTAGACCCTTTGAAAATACCTTGCATTTTTCTTAGCTCAATAAGACACAAAAGATATGAACACCTCAGCAATGGATTGGTTTTCATATATTCCTCTGAAGAGATGAAGTAATAAAGAGCAGTCGGAACAATTTTTACCGGAGGTTTCTTGCCAGGAAGGCTGAGAGCTTGGATAAATTCGATTTGATTATCGATTATCAAGTCATATTCTTCTTGAGCCTCCTTTTTCTTCGCACCAAACCGGAAAGTAGCCGATGACATTTGCTCTTCTTCCCATTTTCTCTGTTCATAATGAGGCATTTTCTCTCGCTCGTCAACTTCTTTGTACTCCTCAGTTTCCTAGAAAATTTGAAAGTCAAACCAGTGATTAAAACTTACAGTCATAGTGATGATAAAAATACTGAGAAAAAAAAAAAAACAATTCTTTAATCTGGGTGGTAAGTTTGAGAGGAAGATAACACAGCGTAATATCTGAGACATCAAAGGGGCATGAGTTTCAATTTTACAGACAGAACAATTAAGTAAAAGACTTGCTCCGCAAAAGATAAATCACAGTATTCAATGCATTTATTTCAGCTGAGCTAAAGCTCCAGATCTGTAGAATATTTTTCTAGTCAGTGAAAGTTAAATTTATGAAAAATGGAATTCTTTCATATTCATCTTTCCAAGTGTAGTAAACACGGCAGAGTGTCCGATTATTTTTTTTGGATCATCCAGACTTAAATATAATGATATACATCTGGTTGTACACACAGTCAAATCTTGCTCATTTAGTCATCAGTGGCGTGGTGTGCTCTGGGACACATTAAACTACATTTTGTAATGAGAAATTGTATATTCTGGCTCAGTGGTGAAACAATGTATGTACCATTGGTTTTTCAATGCACATATGTGTTTTTACGAATGGGCTAGAAATTACAGTTCCTAATTGCAAAATGAAGTCCAATTTATTGATCTCCCATTCAAACATATGGAAAGTGATCAATTATGTATCAGAACGTTTGCAACAAACACCTTCATGAGCAATTTGTTACCGTAGCTTCAAATGGAAAAATATCGATAGCCCATGTTTGAGGCTTAACCTTAACCACTGTTAATCATGGGTTCAAAATAATTCTTAATACTGGGTACTTGAGCTTGTGAGTGATCAATGTTTAAAACTTCATGGTGACCTTTTTACTTCACAATGGAATTGCTGGACAAAGTTAAGCGAATATTATTTGCTTGTGCTCCTTCAATTCAATAAAATTGAATCACAGGGGAGCAGAAAATGTTAAATCATACAAAGAATGTTTCAATCCATTTCGAGATTTCTTTCCTCCTCATTTTCAAGGAAATTTCTCCCAAAATTTTAAACATGATAACCTGATTTTTGCTTCTTCTTGGACTTCAATTTCGTTATATTTTCTCAATGAACTTTGAACTTAAAAAAACTCTTAAAAAACAGTTATACATATTTTAAAGCGGTAATTTCTCGAAATTATTTTGGGTTACTCTTTGAGTGATTTTCCTAATTTTTGTGCCTCTACTGGTTTAATGAATTTCTCATTATTCATTTACGATGTGACTTGACTTACATCTTTAGCGTCTTGAGGCATGTGGTACCTTTGAACCCTTTCCAACTCACGAGCCTTGCCATGTTCTTTAGTCAGGTCAAGTAGCTTCCTCTGAATTTCACGATTTTTCTTTTCTCTTTCGGTCAATCTAAAGAAAATGAGGTAGAGAAACAATTAAAAATATTTTAATTTACAGTGAACATAGTCTTTTCTATTTTACAGTATAAAAGATAAATTAACTCAATGACTAACTTTACTTTTTTCTCTCTGGTCGCATTGAATAAATGAAAAAGTGACTAAATAAATGAGTGAGCTGTTTTGGACTTCACCTGATTATGAGATTCAGTGCAATTGCCCCGTTTTTGAAAGAGCTTCAATGATGGAGGCAATTGCAAAAATAGTGATCATCACGGACTGTGTACTGACATCATAAATATAATCAGAGAATCTAATGAAAACGGAGAGAGTAGGGCACCTGCACACATTTGGCAAGTACAGACAGAAGCCATTTGATGTCACAGGAAATTTTTTTTAAAGCCTCATAAAAAATTGAACAGCTTCATGTTCAAGGTACAACAAGTGTATGTTCAAGGTAAAGAATTTTCTTTGGCCTAAACTGGTTTGTGTCTTCATGTGCCCAGCTCTCCTGCCATGTTGGGCGAGTTACAAAAAGATTTTTAAACATATGGCGAATCTAGGAAGAAAAAATACCTACCTCCAATATCTGCACTTGACATAATCAATGATAATGATTGTAACTCATTGCAGATTCATTTCTTAACTATAAATTACAAAATTTGAACGTATCTGAAAATTTGATTTAAAGTCTCTAGTCTTGTACTTGTCATTACATTGAAGTATCATGAGTAGCAATGGTCACCACCAGAAGAAGTCTGTTAAACCACAACAATAATGTAGATTAAACCACACTTATTATTTCAGAAATAGCTTACTCATAATCTTTGAAAAGATATTCATCATCCCGTATATCAGCTTCTAATTCCGCAACTTTGTCTTGTTCTCGCTTCTCTAAGTATTTTCGACGTGATTCCACTCTCAGCCTTTCAAACTGTTTATCTCGATCACCTGTATCCAATTTGAGGCGCTTGGCAGCTTCCTCAGATGTTTTCTTATCTGAAAATTTTGAAAACATACATTGGAATTGCAGAAACAGAATTTAAGGTCTTAATACAATCATATTTTCTGATCAATCTTGTTAATGATTTGACTTTTTGAGATCTGTTAGGTTGAGTTTTCCTAGTTTCTATCCTGGAAAAACAATCAGTTTTTTAAGGTATAAATTAAATCCCTGCGCAATGTGTTATGTCTACGAAATTTCAGGAGGGGAACATATAACACAGCGGAAAGTCTAGAAATCAACTCTTAAATAAGATATAAGCAGTTACAATCAATATTGTTTTAACAGCAAAAATAGAAATGACACCATCTGTAAAATCTAACTTTCTTTTAGTCTGAGTTAAAAATACTTTTTAGTATTTTTTTTCAAGAGTTGATTTCTGAACTACACGTTGTGTGAATCGTTTTCTAGGTACGTAAATCTTGAGGAGGAAACATGCAATATTTTCCTTATGTCTAAAGGGCTAATGCAACGTTTTTTTAGATTTCTAGCAAGAAAAAATCACTGCTTATCAATTTATGTTGCACCTGAGACTTTTGAACCATCATAATACTCAATCCATCTCTAGTTCCAATTAAGTTCGAGGAAAAATTAAATGCAGGTGCAAGGAAAAATCATGAGGTGAAGTTTGATTTTGATGTACTCTTCAACATTCTATGCATTGATGGTGCAAAGTAAATTAGGAAAAAGCTAGGTAAAATAAAAAGTACAAAAAAACTGTGCAAACCAGGCTTTGAAATTGCCTTGAATTGAGAAAAAGACGACAAAAATTGCTACTCGGTTTGTGCTAAAAATCAGAAGCAGTGGGTAGTAACAATATTTTGTCTCAATGTGCTTTAATTAGAAACTAATATTTCTTTAAATCTTCCAGTACTAGTCAGAAATTAAAGAGAAATTATACAAACCAGAAGAAGTGGCAACATTCTTAGTTTTTTCTCTATCTCGCTTTTTCAAACGCTCTGCGAATTTGTCCCGCTCCTTGCGATCCTCTTCACTGTCACTGGATTTACCCATCGTTTCTGGAATGGAAAAAAAAAACTCACTGAATACTTGAAATCCATGAGTAAGGGAGCAGTTACAATTAATAATTATTACAAATAATTAAGGAAGTCTGCAAAATTGCTAACTGCTATACACAGTTTGAGTTTCACTGCTGTAGCATTATAAATGTTTAGAGAAAACTCTGTACATGGAAATGAAAACCAGGAGGGATTTCAAGAAATGGCATGGCGTAGTGTTCCATTTAGAAAATACATTTTGACAGGAAGTCAGCGGCATCACAAAACTACTTTTGCATTCTTTATCCTACTGATGATTTCAGTATTGCCTTCTAGTATTTTGATATTGAGTATATGATTGAAGCTTCGACGGTTCAATAGAGCCCACCAGTTAGAAAACCAGTGGCTTTGTTGGAGTTTATCTGCCCTTCAGAAACAGTTTAACTAAAAGCTAGATGGCAGTGATTCATTACAACATCCTTAAGTACTCCTGTTGCTTGAATTCTCTTTGGGCAATACTTATGGAAGCACATATTTCCTACTTACATACTTTTAAGTCATAGACTTGAAAAAGTAGTGGACGTAAAGGAATAGTTGAAATGAAATTACCGTTTGTTAATAGAGGCGCTATGAAGAACTCAGGAACTTTCAGACGACAAGGGATAGGATTATCAGTTTGATTTACTGCAGTCTTAACAAAACACCAACTTGAGATTCTCGGCACAATTCATTATAGTAAAATTATAGATAATAAAGGTTTATAAATGGATAATTGCACCTGAAACCTGAACGTTTCATTTCATTTCTTCCATTGTTGATATTGATTTGAGGTTAGAATGAAAGTAAACAAATGTTTTTGGAAAAGATAAGAGAATAAATTTTTTAACTGCTCTCTAGTGGAAAAATACCTAACCTATTCGTGGAAAAGGAAGAAGAAGAGTGCTTGTGCTTGCTAGATTTTTCGGAAGAATCTCGAGTTTTTACCAGAAGTTTCGGTAAATATTCCGCCATTTTAGGGATTTATCCCTCGGGAGTGCTGTGAATCGCGATTTTTTCTTTACCCTAATCGATTAACTCCTCTGTGTCTTTTACCGTTGCCAAATAAGTTTTCCCAATGCAGGGCCAAGTTCAACAACAAGCTACAAATCAAGTCGTTGGTACAGGGAATGTGATTTTAAAAATGAGTGATATTTTGCCCATAACCACTGTTGGTAAGTTCTTATTATCACTGGAGCTTTTAGAGGAAGTTTACAATTCTGTCATTTACTTATCTTGCTCTTCTCTCATTCTTTTCTGAGGAGCTCACCATGTTCATGTTTACCAGTTATCTCAACGCAGCCTGAGCGAAGTCAGTCCATGTGGAAGGGGGATCTTGTGAAAGTCAACTAAGTATCGCTTATGAAAAATCAAGTTGGTGATTTCTTATCACCGGTTCAAACGTATCGCCAAGAACCATACTCACCCTACATTGGCGCTTGACCCCCTAACTTTCTTGACCTTTTGATGGCAAAGATAAAGATACTAAATCTTTGGCTTTTTTCCATTATTATTAAGTGTCAAGTCAAAATTTCTTTTTAACTAAGTTATGTAAACTCCCTATCCCTCCCCTAGTTGAGTTGATTTGCGTGCAAGCATCTAACCAAATCGGCAGTTCGATGCCTCTGTACTAACCAGGATGATTCATGTACCTTATCTGGCCTCAAGATTATTCTAGAATGTGCCCACCACATATTGATGTTTTTGTCAACAGATAAAATTTTTTATGGACTAATTTGATCTCTCTCAAATTTAGGTACAGCAGGTGTGTGTCCATGAGTAGATTGAGTGTCATCCGTACGTTTATCAATGATATGCTATTGCTATACTCGGGTTATCAGTGGCCATCTCATTTCCTCTACATACCACATTCTCCTTAATTGCTCATGTTAAGAGGCTTGCCAACTTACCCAATTATGACTTGAGAGGTTTCTCCACTCACTATTTTGATGAGTTTTTTTCTTATCTCATACTCCTAAATTGACTCCGAAGTGTTGACGTTTTATCAAAGCTTCTCAGGAAATTCCATTAAGCTGCAAAATTTTTAGTTCTCAACACCACCAACATAGGTAGTTCTCTAGGAGAGCACACACATGTCAGGTTTGTTTTACTTTTTAATTTTAAAAGAAAGGAAGAATGCACAGTTGTGAAAAATAAATTTTCAACTGTTCTTAACGGGGAAGTAAGAATGTAGATTTTTTAAGGATAGGAACGCAAAGTTGCTCGCAAGCATTGTCATCCCTACCTATTTATTTAAGCTCATGCGGTTACTTCCCTAATTTCTGCATTTTGGTGATAATAGCAGGGAAGGCTCTCGATCTATTCGAATGTGCATTGTCAAATAACAAATGGTCAGCTCTCTACTATATGTGATTATCTTCTCTAGTGTTATCATGCATGATTTCCAAACATTTCAAACTATCACACTCTACCAGCATTGTAACTCATTTACTTAGTTCCATTCCACAGATGAGATTCCCAGTTATTTTATCTTTACCAGCAGTGCAGATTTCCTTTTTAGACCTTATTTCCTTTTTATTTAGACCTTATTTTTTCTTGAAAATATAGGTACATCTCCTGTTTTTATTCTATCTAAATAAGGGAAAAGAAAATGGTTTGTCCGTCAAATATTTGTATGGTGGTTGTAGAAAAATGTACGCTTATCTTGAATTACACAGCATTACATGAAATCTGGGCTAAGAATTAGATACGGATCAAGTTAACCAAGTAGTGACCAAAGTCTCATAATTGCCTTATTGCACATTAATACCTAGAGAAGAATAATATTCATTCTAGTGTACCCCATCCATATGGGGGTAAAAACTTCCTGACCACATGACTAACTGCATTGGATGAAATGAAGGAATTGGAAATGATAGGAGAACACAGTACAAACAGTATAAAATGGGGGCCTCCATGTAAGGACAGAAAAACTTAAGGGAACCCTGTCAGATTTGTTTGAAATTTCTGTTTGAAAGTATGCCCTCCACTTAGCAGAGAAGTCCAATGTTTTTGATGGTAAGTTTATTTTTAGTTATCCGCAAATTGCAATTATGACTTTTGGTTGAAAATGGGGGACTGAAGGTCAATTTTTGGCGGAAAGTAGTGTCGATTAATTTTGTAGAAAAAGGGTTTAAATTAATTTTGGGGTGGGGGGATTTTTTTTCGCCAGAATTCACTGGTTGAGTTTATTTCTGTTTTCACCCTCTTGCTCTTTCATTTTGGCAGGCCTATTGGAACTTGCCCACCGTGAATATCAAGCTGGTGATTATGAGAATGCAGAAAGACATTGCATGCAGCTGTGGCGGCAAGAGAGTAACAACACAGGTGTCTTGTTACTTTTATCTTCAATTCACTTCCAATGCCGGCAACTGGACAAGTAAGTTCTCTTCTATCAATATTGAACTAATGAAGTTACCTATGATAAAGTCTTTACCTTTGCGAGCCTGATATTCTGAGCCTATGATAATTGCTGGGGCTAGGATATGTAGTTAAAAGACGACTAGAAACAGAAGGAATTGAAGCATCACATGACATCTTTCCTTAACAGAAGTGCATGCATATGATGTTGAACTTTTGAAATTTTTCAAAATCACCAGTTAGTAAGAGACTATCCTTCATTGTTCATGAAATCGATTACTTTAAAATTTTTGCGTGTTGAATAAACTAAATAAAATCAACTCAGGTCGGAGGAGCTTTTATAAAAAAAAATGCAGCACTTTGGGGAAATCGTTTGCTCATTTCATTGGGTGGCACAATAAAATAAGTTTCCCTCCCAATTTGATCCAAGCCAGTAGACATTACTTTTTAGTGAGGAGTGATTTTGGATTTGCGAGCATTATACTTACTGCTTGCTCATTCTTGAGGAACATGCCATTTTTTGCTTTTGCTTAGTTATCTAGGTGTATTTGAATGCCAAGTACCTCAATTTCTAGCATTGTTTATGATTCATGGGTACCACAGTCTGAGACTTTTGACTGAATTTTACCTTGCCACGTAATAAACCTGGGCACATACTGCACTCAGTTATTCTTGGATAATGGTATAAGGAGACTTTCTTCATAATGTATAAGAAATGTTTGGACGAAAATGTTTTATTTTGAATCATAACAGCACAAGGTATTAGAATTCCATTGTTTTCTACAACCTTGATAATAAATTTTTGAGTGTTTTAAGTAATTAGTAAAGCTAACACCATAGAGGCACAAACCTGGAACCTCAGTTCTGCCAGGGAACTGCCCCAGCCACTGAGCGGCCGCTGCAGGGTACTTCCTATCTATGAACCCCTTTTGCCTTTTTTTTTTTCCAGATCTGCCCACTTCAGCACACTAGCAATCAAACAAAATCCCATCCTTGCAGAAGCATATAGCAACTTAGGCAATGTTTACAAAGAACGAGGCCAGTTAACTGAGGCACTAGATAACTACAAGCATGCTGTCAGGCTAAAACCAGACTTCATTGATGGCTACATCAATTTGGCAGCAGCATTGGTCGCTGCCGGAGATATGGAGCAAGCCGTGCAAGCTTATGTCTCTGCTTTGCAATACAATCCAGTAAGTTAAGAATCTATCCTGTCAAAAAAAAAAATACTTTTTTTTAAATGAACAAGTCTAATCATTTTCCACATTACTGTCCTGGCATGCTTCGACATGAATCGATTGATCTACCATTTAAACCTATAGAAAAGGATCTATTATCAGGGTGTTTGCTACAAACATCTTACTAATTGACTCTTTACTATAGCTTCAAATGGGAAAATATCGATAGACAATGATTCATGCTTCTTCGCATTTGACAAGGACAATGACAAACTAGATTCTTTATGTATCAAAAGGTGCATTGATTCATACATTTTCTGCTCTCCTTTCTTTTTTAATTTGTGATACCTAGTTTATCTTTTTCATCAAAACAATGTCTCTTTCTCATCATTGTATCATTTCAGAACAGATGGAATTACATTTAATGAGAAAGAATCATACTTAATGAAAAACTTTATCATTTGTCTTGCATGAAACCCTAAAACAGTCAAAAAAGACGCATACAAATGTAAATTTTTACCAAAGACTTTGTTAGTATTTATTGTCCTTTAAAAATGAAAACCCTTTTTTTCAAACCTTCTACAAAGCCCTATTTTAGTCCATTGTTACAGTATCACTTACACTTGCCATTTTGCGTTCCAGGAATTATACTGTGTGCGCAGTGACCTTGGTAACCTGTTGAAGGCTTTGGGCCGGCTCGATGAAGCTAAGGTAAAAATTTAAATCCTTGAATGCGTAATCTTTTGCTTTTATTCTGCTCCTTTTTTTTTTTTGAAACCTTATGAAGAATTGTTTCCTAAAATCTTTTACCTATCAACCATGAAAGAAATGCCCGTACTGTAGAAAATTAAAAAATGCACTTGTTTTTGAGGGCTCTAGTTTGTGTGGAACATTAAATTCATTTCAAGCAAATGAAGTTCAGGTAGATTTCAAATAGATTTTTCATCAATAAAAATAGAGTCCGCGAAAGGATTCATTACAAATCTGAAGAAGATGAATGAAAAGAAACACTGGCAATAAAACAAAAATGTGACATTATTAAATTTTGAAATGTCTATCTTTGTTTCTATATAGAAAGCGATGAAAACTCAGGTTATCATAATTACTTAAGTCGGAAGTAGTGCTCAAAGAATTCACTTCCATAACACTTTTAGAATGTTTTAATTACTTTAGAATCATATATAATTTAAAACCTGAGGAAATTTTTCTGAGTCACGGTTCACATGGAAACCACACCTCACTTTGAATGATTCTCACTTTTGTTGATTAAAATTTTCCTTTTCCTTTCTCGAATTAGCGTGAGTTTTGAGACATTTATTCTTATCCTCGTCTTATCTCTTTAACTTGCCCCATTTTCATTTCAAGATCAAAGCTAGTGGCAAATAGCCCTATCAATATAAATACTTCAATGATTGTTGAGCCTTTGCTGTACACTAATCACCCGCAAGAAAGTTGAAATTCAACTTTACACTTTAGTCACCAACTATTCCAGTCATGAGATAAGTAGAACAATGCTTCATCTGATGATGGATCTTGTCAGTTTTTAGTTAAAATTGAAAAGTAAAAATAGTAAAAATTGAACTTGTCTGCTCAAGAAAGGGTATAAGTTTACCTCTCTCCTCAAAATTTTTCCTGACCCTTAATTTAGTTGAATCGAAGTATGCGAAAACGTCCGATGTCCAAAAAATCAACTCTTGGTAAACCGCAAGAAACTGTGGAGGCCTTTAGAATCGGCGTTTTGAAGAAAATCAAGGCATGTGTTTCTTAGTAAAGGGTTGTAGAAAAGGCACACAACTGTGTCCCATTCCAACTCCCATTCAGTGCTGAGTAATTGTAAAAAAAGGGCTTTGGACATCGGACGTTTTCGCATACTTTGCAAAAATCTGCCCAAAGACCATTATTTTTGACCCCTCCAAAAACCTTTAAACTAAAGTAAAACATAATGTCAGACCTCCAGTAACACAAAAAAAAATATTTCTCTTTTCTTCGAGGCTTCAGTGAAAGTTACGTGACGGCGGAAGAAGAAAAATAATGGACATCGGACGTTTTCGCATACTTTGAGATTGCCCCTCAAGATATGTGTTCAGGATTGCCTAGAATGCATGAAATCGATTAGAATTATGTAAAGTAGGGTGAAATTATTCATCTTCAGAGGGTCCTGAACGAGAATCTAAATTTGCCCCCTCGACAAATCATGGGAACCCCCCCGAAAACCCCCATCATAAAAAAAACAGTCAGGAATTGGTTATTTTCTCTCGTTGTTCTGCTACTAGCGCACGTTTTGAGAGCAGAAATTTTTTTCTCATATAATTTCTCATCTATAGGGAGTTCTTAACGAGAATCCAAATTTGCCCCCTCGACCAATCATGGGGACCCCCCCGAAAACCCCTCCATAATCGAAACAACTGTCAAAAATCGGTTATTTTCTCTCGTTTTTCGGCTACCATCGCATGTTTTGGGAGCAGAACTTTTTTTCTCATTTAATTTCTCATCTATAGGGGGACCTTAACGAGAATCCAAAATTGCCCCCTCGAACAATCATGGGGACCCCTCCAAGCCCCCCCCCCCCGATAAAAAAAGGTCAAAAATAGGTTATTCTCTCGTTTTACGGCTATTATCGCCAAAGCCGTTGATTTTAAGACAGAGTTTGTGGATCTCACATGAAAGCAGATAAAAATTCGGTCTTATTTAACCAGGTTTGAAATTTTTCTGATAAAAATTGCGGTCACTACAGGGTTCTCATAGATAGCCCAAAATTTTCAAAATTTCGTTTTTTAATGGTTTTTTTGCTTGTAACTGTTGTTCAGCTATTATCTCGGTTAATATTAAACGTGGAAAGTTGTTGTATGGACAGATTTTATTATTTTTAGTTGATCTACAAAAATCAAGCATCAAAACACGATTGTGTGACCAGCGCAGCTGACCCATTCTCCTTTAAGGGAAATAGTGGTTTTATACCGAAGATAAAGCAAAGAAGAAGCCGGAGTAAGTCCGCAACCACGTATCAAGGTTTGCGACGTTACAGACTTCCCATCATGGCTTATTTTAAAAAGGAAAACGACTTAACGGCGATTTTTAAAAACTGCCGTGTTTTTTCTTCTTAGTCCGAAAAAATTATGCAAAAAGTTTAAGGAATAATGACGATTTGTTCCCCTTTAATTCAATAAATAAAATAACAGCGACAATTTTGAGACATCGCAAACGAGATAAATGGTTACACACTTACACCGTCGATATGTTGTATTTAGGTAGGTGTAAGTATTTGTGCATGCAGTGGCGGTTATGAATTTAAGGCCCGCGCAGCCGCGACACGTAAGAGGCGATGGAGTATCTGTGTGAGGGTGTGTGTGTGTCTGTGTTGGGGCGGGGGGTATGGAATCCCCAGGGACTAGGCGAGTCCGATGGATCTCCCTTGGAAACTGTTGGAAAATTAAGACACTTCAGGTCCCAATTTTGTCGATTTCGAGGGGGGGGGGGGGGTTGGAAGTAAAAATAATGGCGTGGAAAAAAGTACGAGGGTCATCCAATGAGGTTCCCTACCTCTTATCTTCCAAACGGAAAGAGATAAATCAAATCGGTAAAAAAGTTCTTTTAAGACATACTCTAAGCTTTAAAAGAAGCTCTAGTTTTTGAAAATTGGTCGAGGGGTTCGCGAGAAAACTTAATTTTACTGCGACAACTTCCTGTCGCCGCGCGCCCACCTTCGGAGTCTGGATGCGCGGAAAGTCGATTATTTCAGACTTGGGTTTTCGCCGCTAAGCATCATATCAAAAAGAAATTTGAAGGTTTTTATTGAGTAGACCTTACCTTACTTTTTGACGTAGTCTCCGCCTCTGTTTTGACATTTCTGGTATCAATATTGCAGCTTCTTGATGCCTTCCGCGTAGAAGCTGGCTCTTGTCTTGGGCACCGAAACCAGTCATTGACAAGCCCTCTACATTTCCGAATCAGTTGCTTTGCATAAGAAAATTTCCCTCCATCTTCTGTACTCTTACGATTCAGCCTCATGTGACTTTCGTCTGTTCACTGAGCTGAAAAACTTCCTCGGTGGAAAGCGGAATCCGAATGATTCGGAAGTACAGAGCGCTGTCAATGACGGATTCCGGTGCCCAAGACAAGAGCCAGCCTCTACGCGGAAGGCATCAAGAAGCTGCAATATTGACACCAGAAATGTCAAAACAGAGGCGGAGACTACGTCAAAAAGTAAGGTAAGGTCTACTCAATAAAAACCTTCAAATTTCTTTTTGATATGATGCTTAGCGGCGAAAACCCAAGTCTGAAATAATCGACTCTCCGCGCATCCAGACTCCGATGGTGGGCGCGCGGCGACAAGAAGTTGTCGCAGTAAAATTAAGTTTTCTCGCGAACCCCTCGACCAATTTTCAAAAACTTGAGCTTCTTTTAAAGCTTAGAGTATGCCTTATAAGAACTTCTTTACCGATTTGATTTATCTCTTTCCGTTTGGAAGATAAGAGGTAGGGAACCTCATTGGATGACCCTCGTAAATGGACATCGGACGTTTTCGCATACTTTTGAGGTTCGACCCCCTAAATGGGGGCGAAAAAACAAAAAACAGGTCAAATCCGTCTACACATAGATGCGCCTACCCTCGAAGATGACGTTAAGCCAAAAAACTCAAAATCCAAAAAAATGGACATCGGACGTTTTCGCATACCTCGATTCAGTTGCACTTAACGTGGAGTACGAATGAACCAAGAAATTTCATTGAGCCTTTTAAAAAGCATGGAAAAAATGTCTCTGAGTTATGAAATATTTGTCTCTCCTGATAGCTGAAGAAAATGGTGCAAGCAATTTTAAAACAGTCACGGATTTATGGCCTTCTGCAAGAAATCGATTACTCATTCAAAGTGTGGTTGAGTTTGTATCCGCTTTTGACACGGCTTATTTTTCCTGAAACGGTTTTCATATAAATATTTTTTGGACAGTTGAGCTTATTTCTTGGTCTCAACTCCAAAATGGTCATCGTACCTGAGCTTCATTTGACAGCTTCTCACTAATTTGATGTTTGATTTTTACCTCAAGTTATCAGTGTTCATGCCTTTTCACAAGTTCCAATTTCATGAGAAGCACAGCAATTTAAGATCCTCTATTCATGTAACACTGTCATTTGTTGTTTTTTTTTCTTTTAAATTTTTCATCATATATCTGATAATATTCATTTGTTGTAATCCATATGATGTATTCAGTGCTATGCTCTGAATTTCAAGTATCTGTTGTCTGTTGGTCTTTTTAAAAGCAAGACAGAAAACTAGTTGATTTTTGATACAGCCAAGCTTTCAAATTTAAATGAATTTGAATCTGTGAGGGCTGATGTAGACCATAATTTTGAAATGATTCAAATTCACCTCTTTTAAAACATATCGAGACGAGTGACTTGTACGATGTAACAGTGTGGTCAGTTAGCAAAAGATAGCAGCCACACAACTTATTTCAATGAATATTTTCTTGCTAAGTTGACCAAAATAAAATTGCTTTGTTTCTCAGAAGTGATAATGGTTTGAAGCACTAACTGTCTTTTACTTTCCAGTAGACGTCTCAAGAATTGATTTTATCGTTCTAAGAGACAGGGTGATAAACTTTTTGAGACAAGAGCGTATTCCTTCAATGAAATTTTGATTAATTTTGCTCACGGAGATCTTAGAAATTTGGCTGTCTGAGAATTCACTCACTCTTGCTCCCTTGCATTTAAA